AAACGCGGAAGTGCGCAGATTGACGCTAAAAGCGTCGTATTGGGATCCCTCTATACTGACTCCCAGTTATCCACAAGTACACACTGTGCCTCTTGGCTTTATCTTTGGAAGAAAGTTGGGACTGAAAGAACTCTTTCTGTACCTGTTCGATGGTTTGCACGGGACTGCCAATAGAGGTTTTTCATAGGACGTCCATACCACGTCCATAGAGGTGCATATATTTTCAAATCTGAGTATTTCTATTGGCAATTTCATGTACACAAGAATGATAACAGACTCGAAGGTGTTTCTACACAAATCAGTGTAAACTGAATGCTGACCGTCAAAAATCATGTGATTGAAACGCCCCTATATGTGGATACACACAGATACTGTTTGACTCCTGGCAACATTCTGCAATTTCTTTCTTTTTCCCTTGTATCAGCTTTTCACCAAGAGTATGACAATTTTGCCTACTGGGGAAGAGCATGGGTATGGTACTCTGGGTGGGTCCCCAACTTCTTCCCCAGCAGTTTCTGTATAGAGCTGACTCTGGGACTTAAACTAACCCATGATCTACCAGTTTATCAGAACAATGTTATACCGAGTCCATTTTCTGACAAGTACATGTACATGTACAATACATGTACCATGAACGAGAAAATAATGGAGCAGTTAATGCATGTTTTCTTGTAAGTTAAACGAGGTTAAGAGCATCAACCAGCACCAAAGTCCACAAAAGATGCCCAAAGGCTCATCTACATTTTCTCTTTTGCAATCACGTTAACCCATTAAGTCGTTAGCCATTAACTGTTTCAGTTCCAAATAAAAATGTACACATACACCTGTACAAGTGCATGTATTTATTACAATTCTCAAAACCTGCTCACTTGTACCAGTATAATTTTCAAAATGAACTACTTTGTACAAGACAGTGTAAACAACATCTTTTTAAATCAATGTTAGAACCAATCGGATGTGTGTATGCAGTGACATGTATTTGCTTGGTCAATTCCTACTCCAGTCAACTGGTTATGTACATACATTTTCCCCCATTCCAACAATGATTAGACCGTAAAGCATGACAGTTCCATTGGCAATGTAGTCCTATGATCAAAAGCTGCCTGGCATGACTGCGAATTAGACGTGTACAGTACATGTACATGTAATTGTCATCTTTTAGCTGAATAATGTGTGTACGGGTACACGTCATTCCAGAAATTAGGGGTCCATTTTTTTGTATCCCTGTCACATCTGACATATGATTTTGTAAGTTCAGAGCATATTTTCTAGTTTCCAAGAGTGATGAATTAATCATAATTATTTGACAACGTAGGCAACTGCAAATGAATGGCCTCATTACCAATTACTGTCATTTTCAAGAGGTACCCGCTGCTTCCCTTGACTCGGACCGGCCAGCTGATTCCGGCAAAGCTCAGTGGTCAAGTGGTTAGGACATCTGCACTACTATAAGCAGGAGGTCGTGGGTTCGAGTCCTACCTGAGTAAGCTTGTGAGGTTTCATCGCAAGCTCTCGGACAAGCACTGAGCATACAGTGCTTATTAATGTACATTGGGTAAGGGCAAAACCCGTAATATAAATCAATTACTGTCAGCTAGGAAACAACAGGCCAACTTTTTCTCTACCTTCAGTGCAGGTTCTCTCCCCATACTATAGGAAATGCAACATACACCTTGGGCATTGTGGTATGCAAGCCTCAATGGATGAGAATCCCAATATTACACCTACATACTCTTGTCTTCCCCCATTGTCTGCCGGGGCGACCTTCAATTACAAATACTGGTATGGGGTATGGTGAAATAAACACCATCCACATCTGTGCATGATGGGTTTATGCAAATATATTCCTGCCATAAAGAGAATCACCCTATGTACCGGGTATTACATTGGAAGAATTTTTAAACACGAGCTAAATATTACCAGGAGTTTCAACAGATGAAAACTAGTACTGGTAATTTCTGTAATACATTTATGCACCTGCACGTGTATCTCGTAGGATGCATTTCAATTTATCATGGAGACACTGCTGATTTTTCAATGCCACTGTACAGGTCGATTCAAGTGGCTGTCTGGTGCCCCCAAAAGGTGCTTTTTTTTTTAAACAACTGATATAAAATCAGGGGTGTAAGTTGCCACTTAAATTTAAAGCTCGAAAGCAGAGCTGGCAAAAAGCTGAAATTTAAAAAGTTTCCATACTTCTGTACAGACCAGATCTACAAAAAAGCTGAAATTCAGGGTTCAACATCTAAACAAAAAAAAAGTTGAATGCTCGCACCCCTGAAAATAGACCCCCGAGTTGCTTTGGGGAGTGTGGTTGGCGAAGTAGTTCTTTCCTCGCCTGTCATCTCTGCAACCCAGGTTTGATTCCCAGCTACATTGCAAGTCCACATGTGGATTGGGTTTTCAGTCCCTATCTGATTCCGTGGGTTTTACCCAGCAATTTCTTCTCTGGGGTTTTCCTCCCACCTCTACAACTGTAACTGCTTCTTATTGTCTCCTCGCTATAGATGTAGGAGGATGCGGGTTGTTTGGAGGCTGCCTGAGGCACCCTTGTATGCTATACCTTTGACCACATTTCACGTCTTCATTGTACTTTGCATTTTAACACACATCCGTATGAAATTTGTGCTTTACAAATGAATAAATGATTACATGTAATTATTGTTATTTGGGAAGTATGCCACCTCATCAGATAACGGTAAACCTAAAATATTCAAGTTCACCCAACAACAAGAAGTCCAAGAACTAGATCTCCAACTCTACCCCAAGATACTTTTGGCTGTGGTCAAGCCCCCAAAGTAACTACATTTGCCATTACACTTCCACCATTTAGAAGACAAATTATAAGACCTGTTCATGTAATAAAAGAGAACAGCAGGAGGTCATAATTATTATTACTACCGGTATCAACTTCTAAGGGAAAAGATCCCTACAGGCAAACAGGTAAGTAGGGTACCAATACTATTTATGCAAGCATGTGTGTACTACTGTTCATGTGTTATTCTTCAAAATAACAGCACGGTAGATAAAAATTAAAACAACATTTCTAAGCACTAAATTCAATTACAGCAGAAAAAATCCTGCTGTGTAATGTTATAAATCATTCAGTCTCCCTGACATATGATAATCCATGACTTGGATGTGTGGTCAGCTGGAAACAACGTCTATTTTTAAGGTGACATGGGATCATGTTTGTACAGTCTACACTGTACATGTACTAGTATCCATAATTACATGTGTACATGTAGTTCTCTATGTATGTAATTGGCTGTTGCATGTACAGTATATTACTTATTGACCCGATTATTACATGGAAATCGTTGCGTGCCCGACAAAAGGTCGTAAGCGTGCTTACGCCCTTTTGCCTGGAAGTATGATCACACCAAAAAAAGTTACTTGCAAAAGGGCGTAAAAACTTTATTTAGAAAAACAGATAAAATTTGCTACAAAATCAACACAGGCTGTACAAAAAGCAACCTTTGAACAACTTATTAAAGGACTTGGGAAATTTGTTTTAAAACTTTTTGCAAAGAAATCTTTGTATTTAATTAAAATAGTTGAAACAGTTGCATGCATACGTCCTTTTGCCACGAGAGGTTTTTTGCAGTGATCATGCTTCCTGGCAAAAGGTCGTAAGCGCTTACGTCCTTCCAGGCACACGGCGAAATGCTCTAGTAATAGCAATCAGCATATAATTAAGAATCAACATATAAGACTTAAAGGTTTTCATGGCGAAAGAAACTAGATCTACAGTAAAGATTGCGGTAACACCATGTATTTATCTCTTCTTTGAGTATGTGTGGTTCTGAGAAGAACCGGGGAATAACTCGACGTTTTGAACAGTGTACTCTGTCCGTCTTCAGCAGACTGCAGTCTCCTGAAGACGGATTTTAGCAAGTGTTAAGTGAGAGAAAAAGTCAGAGAAGCCCATCGACACAACAGAGGCACAGTGCGAGGATTGAAAACCCACTGCACGTGGCATCTTACAATGCACAGTGTAAGTGGGAATCGGACTCCAGCCAACCGAGTTAGAAAGCAAGTCAGTATCCACTGTGCCGTCTTGCTTTCTATAATTACATATTATGCATGTAGTTCCTTGCTTTCTAACTGCTCATTTTCAGGGAAATCGGGATCCACTGGTTGCACAGGGCCTCTAGCCACACATGTGATGATAGTAACAGCTGGGTTGGGGCCAGCAATGATTAATTACCAGGAAACACGGCCCACTAATCAACGAAGAAAGCAGTTAATTAAGTAAGAACTATATCATCCCCTCTGCACATGACAAGACTATGCTACCGGTGTGCACGGCAGAAGCTGTGTTCAAGACTTCCAGTGCAAGCGAGCTACGTGTAATTTTTCTTCAGGGTGGTAGTAATAAATTTATAACCAAAAACTTAAGTTCTCACTACATGTACGGTGTGACAGTACTCCTACATCTATTTTGTGCATTTGCCCTCCCGTGCCTACGTCATGTTCTCCAGCTTCTCTTTGTTCACAACTAACCAGTTCAATATTTGTTGGTATTTACATGTAAAGTCAGTTGACTACATGTACAACACTGCTGGCATGCCAGACTCAGAGGTCTCTGCGGATATTGCCTCTTCTCAAATGCAGTCAAGGGTTGATGACTTCTAGAGCACATGTCAAAGTAATTGTGCTGAGTTTTTCAATGTTTCATACATTGCATACGTCTATTTTCTGGCACAAAATTAGACACATTTGTAACATGATTATGGTACATGTATGTACCATATTTGTTTTTATCATCAAATTCCATGTTCTAGGAATTATCATTTATCGTGTAATGTATGCATGTATTTTTATAGATAAATTATCATGTAAATCCTGATTAATACGAATTCATACTAAAACCCAATTAAGATTTTTTTCTTTTTTTCTTTTTTTTCTGTCTGTTAATACAGGAAACTAAAATGTAACTGCAGGATTCTATATGGATGAACCATTTTAAACACAATTTTACAAAACACATGGATTTAGCTTGCGTTATTTAAATGAGTGAAAGCAGCATATTTCCAATATCAGTAATACACGTAGTTAAATAAGCATTTATCTCTGAACACTTGAAGTGTCACACCTGTTGCTCAATCCCAGTCAAATAGTTTCTCTCCAATCAATTACTCAATGTGGCTGAATAAAACAGCCAAACACACAAAGCCATTTCGTCTACGTCTGAGAGTAAAACCCTGTGTATTGCATGCACTAGAAAGCCAACAAATACAATGAAAAACTTACAAAGATTCACTTAATTCCTGCAGCCATTCTCCCACAGTTTCCATCCTGACCGAGACAATCCCACAACTGATACCGAAAAAATTGACTCTGCGCAAGGTCTTTAAATCGTCAGGCGACTATCTCTCACGAGAAGACAATTTCACGCTGTAGAATGGGTGTGATTTACCGCCTGAAGAGAGCTGAACAATATCGCAAGGCCAGACAAAAGCCACAGGCGTGCTGAGATCCACAGACATAAATGTACATGGTACAAGTATGAGTTGATTATTAATTATTAATAACACTGGCCAAAATGGTAAAATCTGCATTTGCACTGACTGCAATGCTACTGATTTGTGATTATCTATTAGTAACTTTCAGCTTTGAATGATATTGATTTTCATGTGAGATGAAGTCAATCGGATTTCTTCCCTGTGAACAGCAGATGTTGTTATGCTGGCCCTTATCCCGGTTATATATGCGCTTGTACATGTAAGGCATCTGCCGCAAATTGTGTTGATATTTTCGCACAATCATGCACATCAGGCAATTTTGTTTGGTTACCGGTACGTGTAATTGAACCCGTCAAGCCTAACAATCAACCAAAATATATAATCTGAATAAAACCATGAACATAATGCACCCGTAAACAGAGCAGTGTTTCTTTGGTAATGAAAAAACATCTGAAGGGTATCTGCGTGTACCAGATAAGAAGCAAAAAACATGCAGATTTTGCTTCACTTTTCATGTCAAAATTGGCAAGGAAAGGCGGCAGAATTGGGACAAACCTGGTAACTTTAAAAAAAGGGTCATAAATTGGATATCACAATATACATAGTTGATGCTGAAAAATTAAGGATGGGGTGGCAGGTTGTGAGAACACAGTTTCTGAATCTGTCTGCCTACTGCAGCTTCTGATGGAGAGTTTCTTGTGACAAACACAGAGCTGTTTCATGGTGCATCGCAAGGTGTCAGCAACCTGAAATGAAGCGATGCATGATGATAAACAAAACAGCTAATGAGAAGGCCTGAGATGCATATTGAAGCTGTCCTGAATCTCGTCCTGCCATGCCGCATCAGTTTTACATATACATGTACTTGAGTGCCACTGAGCTAGATCTTCCATTATAACAAGAAGCATCTGTAATGTACATGTACGGTACATAAACATACATGTATCAATACAGGTAGGATTCAAATCCCTGTGCAAAGGATAACCGGTTGGATACGAAATCGAGCAGATGTACCGGTGATGTTTACGGGCTAGAATTTACCAATGACCCAACAATAGTGAAAGGGTCACACTACCTGCTACCTTCGGCAAGTTTGATCAAGCACCACTACGTGTAGTGGATGGTTCAAGACGTACCTAGCACATGTGCAGTGAAGTTGAAGTACGAACGACCATAGTCATCCGTTGTCAGGTCATAAGGTAGAAAGGGATAAAAGGTGGCCGCAGGAAGGGCAAAATAGCAAAAGTAAAAGTGAAAATGGTCGTTTACGAGTGACATACTGTTTTTCAAACATTTTTCTTATAACTGGTCCTCTCTGAACTGTGCTGTTAAAAATGCTTTACGGCAACCAACGATGCAAGTCATGTGACCAACCTCGATAGGCTAGTTGCGACTAGTTGACCAGACGAGTCCAACCATGCTCGACTAGCCTGCGTTCCATCAGAGTTAGTCCAACTTCGCTGTGGTCCTCGATCAAACTTGCCCCTTGTTAGTGTGGGCAGCTCAAGTTGGCAAAAATATCACCCTCATCAGCTGGTGTCCAATTTTGCCTCAAAATGCACAGTGGCCCCACTGAATTCAAACTAGGGGTGTCTTTTCCACGTCGTTTTTTTGTAGCTGTATTTTCAACGTATGCATAATTTGGTGTTTGGATAACTGTGTGATACTGGGTACTATATGTACATGTAGTTGCTTTGGTACTAAAGGCCAGCCATACCACTAGTTTGCATGCCACTGGCACATGTACATGTAGGCAAAATAAGACTGATAGAGAGGTCTATTAAATCTGTGACTTCAGTTTACCAACTAAACCAATTCAAATAAACGCATCTGGTGCTGTTAATAAATGTTATCACTGTCTGAGACACAGAGGTGAGGGGAAACAAATCTTCAGCTTATGTGTAATGCTAACAAAGAAAATACATATATGAATGCACAAATGAGGTAAACAAACAAGAAAGCTATTGCACTGTTTCATTTTTGATTGACAAATGAATTAAAACACTGCATGTACCCACCAATGGACAGAATGAAAGTACATGTACATGAAACATGATCCTTCTTGTGTATGTCAGTGTTCACTTGTTGAATAAACAAATGAGATTAAAAACATTCAATGAATAACCACTGAACTGACAGTACACCACACACAAGTGCACCAGTACCAATCAAATATTTCAGTTGAAAAACATCAGATAAATCTTTTGTAAAACACAGGCACCCTTATCGTCAAACCCCCGTTAATGAAGAAAATAACTGTAGGAGACATACACTGTGGTAAGTTGGGAGCTAGACAACGCTGACATGGGCGTAGACTGGGACCGCCTGATTGAGGGCTGGACATTCTGGACGGTGGTTTGACCCGGAACCAGACTAGAGAGAAGAGGGTAAAGAGACAGATACCAACACACCATGCAAGAGATTAATCAATGTCATGCAGGAAGGGGGGGGATCAGTCAATTATGGTAGGTGGGCACATTATCCTCGGACCATAAAGCTAGGGTTGGACATGGGATATACTGTACATGCATAGCTGACAATAGAGATTTGATATATTTGGACATGTGTGCATAGAATGAGACGGGGATGCCAGGTTGACAAGGGATGTATTGTATTTAAAAGGTGGGGGTCGTGAAAACATAAAGACAGGGCTGGGTTGTGGGGGGGGAAGAGATATACCGTACAGATGTATATTGAAATTCATGGAGAGTTTGAATCAATATGGGGTGGGTTCATGCTGACAGGGCAGGGTTAGAACAAAGTGTAATTCAAATGGATTGGGTAGGGCAAAATAAGGAAAACGGATGGCATTTGATTTCAATGGAATGGTGAGTTTGGAAGAGGCAGGCAGAGCAAAGACAGCAAGATGGGGGAAGAAAGTTGCTGAAATAAACACGGACAAGAAGATGAAGGCGGCAAGATCTGTGAACCGGAAATGACATGTAACAGACCGAGGTACAGACATTAAAGAAACAACTGAAACTTGTTAGTTACAAAGACATTCTTTAATCTCCATTCATGCACATCTTAAATGGATTTAGGAAGGAAAACTTTGGTGTCTGAACGATTACCTTACTGAATGCATTTCCTACAAGACGAGAGGAAAGAAATTTCTTCTTTTCCCTCAAATTGTCATCGTTCATCCCAAGAATATCTACATGAGTAATTGGAAAAATGATCAAAATGGTGATGTGCATTTACATGCGTATACAGCATATGGCATGATGCCTAGGGCTATACGACATGCTACATGTACCCTTGAGCCACGTGTTGAACTTACGTGTAACTCAAATGGGTGCATGGTAAATGCCAAACTTAATAGAGCAGTGTCATGCCTCTGCTGTTAATACCGATAATGCAGCATACCCTATTGAGCTGAAGAGCTTGCTATGCCAAATGCAATTTGCCGAGCTGAATTGGTACTAAATGCCATGCTATTGCTGAGCTAAACTCTAACAAAACTCTATTCACCGGTATTTAAGCTCGGCACAATGTACATGTACATGCATTGCCTAGGCCTACATGTAAGTGATGTACATGTACTAGTTGATATGGATTTATGAATATAAGGATTTCCATGAATGAAAGGAACCACCGACAAAGATTGGACAGCTCAGTTACTGTTCAAGAGGTCAAGGATTATAACCCAGTTTCATTCTACACGTATTTCTTTTGCTCATCTGTTAAATTCTTTTTGATTGATGGTAAACTGCATAATACGGATTTGGTTACAATTTACATGTAACCTCATCCAACTTGCATGCATCCATCTGCTCCATTTATCCAAATGTCAAATTTGTAAATTTATCCTTGATGTAAGTACATGTATGTGCAGTTTGAATGCCCAATACTCACTCTAGTAAATACTCCAAAAGTAATTGCCAATGTTGTAACGAGTCACTAAATTTGGTGACTCGAGTCGAGTCATTTTAACATTGTGACTTGAGTCATTAGGTCAAGAAATTGTGTCGAGTCAGTTTGTATAGTTGAGTCGAGTCGAGTCGAGTCGAGTACCAAGCTTGAGTCGATTTGAGTCACAAATTTGTGAACAAAATACAATTAAAATGACAACTACATGTAAGTCTGTTTGTTGTTTTTTCTTTCATTTAGACATACCGGTATTAAAAATAACGTAATACAAAATTGCTGCAAACTGTTTTTTTTGCCTTTGAGAAAGATTCTGCTAGGATCGAAACGTCAGGCCCTCCATATTTTGGATACTGTAGTATCTAGCCAACTAAAATTTGGCTTTTAATTTTTTTGAGACTTGAGTCTTATACATGTGTATGTAAGCTTGTACCGGTACTCGAGTCGAGTCTCCATGAGCGTTCAAGTCGAGTCATTTGGTCACAGAGATTCAAGTCGAGTCAGTCACCCATTGGGACTCAAGTTGAGTCAAGTCACTTAAAATTGTGACTTAAGTCACTTGAGTCGAGTTCATGACTTGAGTCATTACAGGTCTGGTAATTGCTTTTTAACACACCAAAAAATGACAGGGCAATTGAAAGATAAGGAAGGAAATAAGCTTTTGCTTGATGTGTGTCTACAATACCTGAAAAACTTTTTCTCCTGACATTTTGAAATGGGTGTATTTATCACTGTTGTCTCGGGCATTTTATTAGCTGGTTTGCAACCTCTGATTGCTGAGTTGCATAATTACATGTTCACATATTATGTTCACGTATTTGTGACATCTGCATGAACTCCACAGTGCCATCTGTGTGTGTCAAACGGCACGAATTCATTCGGTTTCTCAAACTTAAATGCACCAGTATAAATTCGTTTATGTACATGTACAATGGACAGTACATGTAACCTCTACCTTGTGCAAAACAGCTTTGTTCCTCAAGTGAATAACTTTAACACCTGTCACTTGACAGACCCTCATATGCATCCTATTATGCCCACCCAGATCAGGCATATTAATATGTTCAATGTATACCTACACGGTTGAAATACATGTACACGTACATGTAATTCCATGAGAACTGACCCATGTCATTCAAGCCACTACGCATGAATTTTAGGGCTCATTTTCACATTTGTGTAACTGGGCAGTTCCACGGAAACATCAACCTCTGGGCCAAAATTTCAAACTTGTCCAAATGTGACAAATTATATATCATTCTGAAGCTTATGGTGTATACTTTCATGAAACATACTTCATTTCTAACAACATTCAAGAATTTGGCTTTTATGATACTGAAAAATTGGTTTTAAATACCGAGAAATTGGGGAAAATATTTCCCCTCTGAAAGATTTTTAGTTTTTTAGCCTGATAGTAATTTTTTTTGTTCCAGTTTTGTTACAGTTTGAAGACTGCCCCGATAAGTAAACAATGACAAAAATGAGCTTTCATTTTCCTTTTGAAATTCTATGTAATGTCTTATTTTATAACACTTACTTTTCTTATGTTCGTCCGACACCAAAATGACATAGTTTTTTATCCCCTCAGTGCACCCTTTAGCAAAAGGCTGCCAAATTGACAATACAAAGCACAATGAGTTCCTTCTTTCTAGACATCAGCTTAACTCCCCCAATTATTTTTTCAAATACTCAAAAATTGTGGAATCAGATGTGTACGTCTGACACCCTGTACACCCGACACTGTCAGAACCATGCATTGGTGGCAATGCAATGCTTTTACACTGTACAGAAACCACTACCACCTCATTTGCATACATGGAAATGAGGCCCCAACCTTTTGTAAAAGTACTTTTGTTTTTACTAATTTGCATAAATTTGACTATTTGGACACACACACCCTAATATGGTTATAATTAGGGCCCAAAGCCATTCCACATGTGTCATGTGTGGACAAACAGGTGCTTTGCATGTATTCAAAAGTAAGTCATGTCAGTGTGAGCTTTGATGAAGACAAGTAAAGTTCTAGGTGTTGTATACATGTACATGTACATGTAATCCACATTAAGAAAGAAGAATTGTCAAAGACTAAACAAACGTTTTTTTTTAAATATCTTTGTTCAAGGTACATGTAAAATCAATTGGCTTCACTTTGTGTTGCTTGAGGAATTAAAGGGGGTGTTCCACTTGTATGCTTTCCATGGCATGTACATGTACAGTATCTATCATAAAACATACAATGTAAGACTGTAGTTTTAAAAGCATTATGCCATTAGTCTTAAAATTCAGTGAAAAGGATAATCTCTCAGCCTAACTGCTAGCCCATTCCTTTGATTTGGCAATCATCTAAAAGGGTATATACATCTACTCATTTAGCTTCTTTTTGGATTTTACATGTGTACTATAACCTGTGAAGTGTGAATTGGAAATCTTTAAAATTGCAGCTTAGTACACACGCAGCATTTGTCTTACAAAAATGTTTAATTTCATGTTCTAAGACCAAAAGATCTTACAGGTACACGTATGCAATTGTCTTTTAATTTGATTTGTTTATCTAAAGGATTGTCAACTGTTAGAAAACTTTTTTTTTAGTTTGAATGTTTGACAGTACATGACTTGTTTAAATGAGCAACATTTGCATAAATACTTCCAGACAACATTTTCCTTCATACTGTTTCATTGAATGCCCCATCATCCAATTCCTTTCTAGTTGCTTTTGATGATTTTTGTATGGCTTGGCATTTTCTTTTGGTTTGAAAGTTTACTAAAGCCTTCATGAAGGTAGAAAAATGAGACAAGCTTGGGTTTGAACTGATTACCTTCTATACTGAAAAGTCAGTTTGGACGTGTACGTCCGACACAAAAAAATGTACGTCCGACACCAATATAATAAATGCTTTATCTGAAAGTCACGACAAGATAAAAATGTGTCTTGCCTTGAAGTTTATTAACAAGGGTCTGCTAAAACTAAGCACAGGAAAACTACTTCTTCAGGTCCTAGCATTTCACAGAGTTTGTGATACAAAAATGGAAACTAAAAAAATGAACTTTCTCTGAGTACGTCCGACACCATGGTGTTATGAGTCAGCTTCTACAAGGATAATAATTCTGAGTGAGAAATTTTGTTATTAAATGAATGTACCAACTAGCTGATATCTTTTATCAAAATCAAAGTCTGCTTCAGGATTATAAGTATGATAACACACACTACTGAAGTGTCCAAATTGTACGTCCGACACCGTGGAACTGCCCAACTGCAATGTTTAACTGATGCAAGTCTGGTGTTGTTTGGCCTCCGTTATTAAACCACGGAGGAAGGAACGCATACATGTACATGTACTGGTACATACGTCACCATGGATGGATGTGTAATTATGGTTTAAAGTCAAACCAAATAGATCGAATTGCTAATTACTTGCAGTACCAGCACCAAATCATCTACATGTATTTTCAACGGCTGGCCAGTCGCATTTTCATATTTGATAGTTCAAACATTTAGGGCTCTGGCTCTGGCCCTAAAGTGAAGTCTGTGAAAAAAGTGTACATGTAAGTATGTCAAGGCAAGTGTGGACATTGAGAAACTTCTTTATGTTGCCTGGGAGTGATCTAGTGCGAGTCACGGTCTCGAGTTCACTTTGTCTCACACTGTGAGCGAGATTACCTGCATGTACATGTACGTGTACATGCATGCACACCAACAGGTGTTGGCATGATATGAGCTGACACAACCGTCTTGTACTGGTAACTTCGCCCTCGTATGCTGGTTCCTCATCTTACATTTTGTTTGAATGTGCCATGGTTTTATGAAATGAGGCATATACATGTACATGTACATACATGTTCAATCATGTCAATGTTAAAGATTGAGCACTACGTCATGCAAATTTATGTACATGTACACTATCGGTAGCTATGCAGTACAACATTGGCTATGTATTGGCGAGCAGTACAAACTATGGGAGTGGAATTAGGCACGGGCTACCAGTACATGTCAACCACTGAACACCACAGATCCTGATTGAAACAGTCCTTGAGTTTCCTCTTGGTCACATTTCGCAGTTGTTATCCTGAAACCAGATTCAATTTTAAGAACAACTGGCTGCGCATGGTAAATATTTAAAGACAAAACACATACATGCTTTCACAAGTTAAAATCAATGTAGAACAGAAGTTTTTAAACTTTCAGAAGCAATTACGAAATATCATTTGGCATTTTGCTTTAATTGAACTTGCCAATATGACCATCAGTCAGGCTGGCTGCACAAGCAATTCTCAACAACGCAAGTACTGTGCAAGCTACTGGTACAGTGAATGTGAAATTGGAAAATTGAAAGCACTAAATGATGGAGTGTGCTTAAGTTTTTAATGGCAGTTCAGTGCACAAAATGGAAGTACAATTGCTTATGTACATCTAACGGTACATATATTTGCATAAATATGTACCTTACATGTACAGGCACAGTACATGTAGCTCAAGGGGTAGGTACATGTAAATGTGCATGTACCTCATTTATATTCATCTTTGAATAATGTAAATGTACATATCCCGGTAGTGAGACTTCAAATTTAAAATCTAAACAAACAGGCGAAGAGTGACCCCAAAACACTACGCACTTCAGTTTGCAAAAGCTTAAATATTTAGAAATTCAACTTGCAAACCAAGCAAACCCGGAGTATGTAGGAGCCAGTGTACAGCTTCTGCAAACTGAGGTGCTCGATTAAAAAAGGGTAACATGGCCATTTCGTAAAGGGACACGAAACTGGATTTTCTTGCAACAATACAACATTCTACCAGTCTGAATGGAATTTAACATTACACACGTACATGTATATGTGACAGACACGGTACATTTTTGAAACAGAAAGGCACTAAATGAAATCTGAACAGATGAGAAATTCTTTTCAATGCGAGGAAGGGTGAATGCTGACAGAAAGAGCAGAAATGAAATGACAAGAGGAAGACAGGGTTCCTGCCATTGTCTTTTAAGCAAAGGGCCGTGCAGGTGTACGCATGTATAAATTTAGCCATGAAACAATACAAAATCTGGGTGGGAAAGTAACATTGACAAAACCTACGGTAAGGTGCTGTCACCTGAAGTCGCTTGCTGCGAGCCAAAAAAGGACCAGGACTTATGAAGCTCCGTCTTTGTCTTACCCTTACCGACTTCTCGAAGTATGCCTTCTGACCTGCTTGGTGTGATGAGGAGGAAGGGATTTGAAGCCGAGGATGAGAACGAAGAACAAAACAAGAAAATCACATGCACAATGGACAGGAGAGGCAGTTAGTATCAAGTCAACATGATCAGTGGGATTAACCTACGGGGAGAAAAAGGTTAGGTACATGTAGTGTGAACCACAACCTGTGTTGGTGTACATGCAAATGGGTACGATCATGCAAATGTTTAAACTGAAGTATGCAACATTTAGAAACAGGGCGTTATAACGATGGGACATTCACTTTTCTTTCAAATGAAAACTTCAAGAGCATGGGTAGTGGAAGTTAGTAGGTTTGAAGATTATCAAAAGTACATGTACCGGTATTTCGCGTCAACACTTTGAATGACATTTCCACCAAGACAAGCAAACTTGGCTCTTTATGTCCGTGATCGACCGTTCTGCTACTAACAGAAAATATGGCTGTACAGGGAGTCTTTTTAAAAGAACTGCATATACACGTACATTTCTGAACATGCTAAGCACTATGCACACTCAAGATTATCATGGACAGTGAAGATGCCATGTCTTGCCACCGTTTCCCACTGGGAACGCCTACCTGCCCTTAAATAATACACCTCGGTGGGAGGTGAAGATTTAGAAGATTTCTCAACTCTGTGTTCTGTCAAAGGGGGGGGAACCTTATCAAACCGTCTCTTCTGTAGTCCATACTACATGTACTGTATCCTCATTTTTACACCCCTATGGACTGTAGTTTATTCGTGCAATGATGCATAACATGAAATCGAGGGACACCACAGACCCAATGACTATTTGTCACACTGACACAATTCAGGACAATAAACTGTTTCAACAGTGGCAACGGAACTGTTTTTGAAGGGCACTTCTTAGTTAATGAACTGAACAGTTATTAAAGATGAAGATACAATACATGTATTATGTGTACATAAAGTTGCTGAGGGCAAACGCAAAATTAAGGAGTCCTTGCAAGAGGACTTTTCGATTGGGAAAGTCTAATGTACTCTGGTAAAAGTGCTAAAACAAAGTTCGAGTTTCAAATGATGTTTTCTATAATTTCACATGCATGATTTGCAAAATTGTTCACATGCATTTGTGATGGAACTTGTGATGGAGTCTCTGCCGTACATTTAACTGGAAAACCGTGTCTGGATTCGGAAACACACACTTGCTACAAAATATGTATTTGTACATTCAGTCATTGCTAACAATGATACAGACCAACAGAAAACCACTTGAATACATGTATATTGCAGATTCAGAATTACACCTTTGAATTTTGTCTGTACCTAGTGCTGGGCTAGCCACCATAATTTGAGAGCCCTGCCCACTGGAATTTGAGTCTACATACATGTACATGTACATGTTGTACGGTATTTTAAGCTGAAGTGTTATTACCAACTGACTGGTAAATTAATCAACGTTGTTATCAACTGACTGGTAAATTCATCAACAAGGTTGAATTAATTACACGGAAATGAACCTGTGTTCATGGATAGTTTGATGAGAACTATACGGGGAGGGTAATGGACTTGTACATTTTGTATACAGTACAAACATATATGTTGAAAGCACACCCAGCTAACAACCCTGAATCTGCAAGCCATTCACATAATGAACATCTAATCCCTGAATTTCTCATTTTACGACTTAAGTAAATGTGCCACATATTAATTTGTCCAAGTTATTTCAAAGGATGTTTACCTAGGGCTTATTGAACCAATCCAGTGAGGGATTTTTCAGGGATTTCTAATGACGCCTGCCTATCGGTGCTCAACTGACATAAGACGATTCAGTGACAGGCTTTTTTCACAGATTTCTCAACACCTACATTTGTACATATAACTGCAATGTGCCAGTAACAGCTGGTGAAGTAACCAGAGTTTCACTGACAGCTCAACAAAGGATAACCAGATTGAAGTAACCAGATTGTCACTGATGCTGCAGCTCAACAAAGGATGTTTCTAAGAGCCATTTCTCTGACAACTATCCCAAGGTTCTCAATGTGTTGAAAACTAAATCTCAGGAAAAGTGACCAATGTAGGATCAAGATGTCCATCATGTCCATAGTGTCATAACAGCAACAATAAGTTCGGTACTCTTGTAAATTATGCATTAACTACATACAGTACATATGACCAGCAACAGAGTTAACCATGGTCACTGGATTACAGTTAGCCTTTCAGCAAACTACAGATAATGCATACATGTACATGGACACCGGGTATGGTGTGCACACTATTAACAAAAAAGCTTACATCCAATTTTTGCATGGTATGCGAAGGACATGTGCACGTACTGTACTGAACTCAAAACTAACATTACTCTTTAACATACATGTACTGGCACATGCACCGGGTAACTTACTTTTTGGAGGCCAATAATGATGGTCGCTTGCCCTTATCGGAATAGCTGGTACTCCGCGGCCCCAGTTTCTTGCTCTCCTCCATGCCCAGGATGGGCTGCTTCTGTTCCTCTCCGTTGTCATCCTTGGACCGGCGAAAGAAGTTACAGATGCCGCACAGGAAGGATGCCATGACAACCACCGTCAGGAAGGCTGCCGACACCAGTACCAGGACCAACTGGTGTAGGGCTGAATTGAAATGAAAGAGGGAGGGAAGGGAAAGAAGTTGTCCAATTTTTAAAAGAATATTTCTCATGGTAACTGGCATGTTTGATAAAACAAAAATGAAAAAAGAATTTATTAATTTACATGTAACTTTTCACGACTGCATTTAACAATGTCATGTCCTTCTTAGGTCACCCAGTTTAGTACACAGACTGGCATATTCCCGCACACGTAAAGTAAGAAAAAAATGAAAAACTTTACTGTAACAATTATATGTGTCGGTGAGTTCATTCTATAAATTTGGGGTTTGATGTGAGACACATAAATTGTACTTTTCTGTCCCTGTTACACCTGACCTGTGTAATTTGATTTATGGGATATCACTGAAATTGTGTTTCAAACTATTTTTATTTGTTTGGTTCGTAATTTGCATTACTCAATCACTCTTGGAAATTAATGAATGTGTTCTAAACTTAGCTCTTACATGTATGTCAAATGTAACAGAGACTGGAATAGAATTGAACCTCAAATGTTGTAAAAAAGGACCCTAACAAGCAAATGCGAGAACTAAAGTAAGTACGTGTACATGTGTCATTGTGTACATGTCTCTTTTTTTTACAAATTGACAAGGTACTGTACATGTAACACTGATATGTATTAAATTGTACACCACTATGAAATGTCATGAGCACTCTTGTTCTCTTAGCCTTTTTCTAACCACCCGTCCTTTGAATTTACATGTACAATGACACAGAGTGTGCGGTTGGCAGTTAAATTACATAAATTGTACACACCAGTGCAGTTCACTTACAAAAATATAACATTCTCTCTTTTTTTTTAAATTCAACTCGTGAAAAAAGTCTTTCGAACAATTGACCTTTCATGCTCATCAAATTCCATTCCAAAGTCAACCACATGCGAGGTACAATAAAAAGTCAGAGCACACAACCCCAACAAAACACTAAGCAAACAAAAATGCAAACTGTATGGCATTTGCCATGGAGTCCCAATGTGTGGAGCCCAACAGCTTGATTCAAAGTAAACGCCTGTATGTACACGTACACACCTGTCCCATTGTGACAATACAGGCAACAGTCAATGCAAGGCTGCCATTCATAAAAGACAGTGCTGAATGAATCCAGGCAATCTCTAGAGGATTATCATACATGTGCATTTGTTTCCATTAAAAATCTGTCCAGGATTTTGTTATCAGAAGGGTGGAAACTGTCCTCAGTCCACAAAGGTGGATGGACAGTGAAGCATGTGAAACAATCTGGCATGTTAAAAGATGTTCACTGTGAGCGTACTGTGTCTAGTCCGTGTAACTTATAAAGTCTATCTACGAAACAAAACAAAAACACTCACACACACAAAACTGTTGTATTTTTCAATGCATGCAGTAGTCTGTACATGTACATGTATGTACCGGTACAGTACTGTACATGTACATAACCAGTAAGCAGTAATTTGCCAGTTACATGTACAGTGTACATGTACATGTACGTACATATGTACACTGTAGTCTTAGTTCTGCTACTGTAAGCATTTGTTAAATTTACTGTTCCTTTTTCTTCTTATGTTGGATTAACAGTGACAAGGGCTCACTTACATGTATGCTCATGAAACTCATGCATGTAGATGCACATTACAATATTACATGTAGATTGTGTGACATTGAGCGCATTGAAAACAGAGTTTAAAAACAGTTTTGTGGCCGTGTGATTTGGGCGAAACTGAAAAGCTCACTTAAACCTTTTGACAAACACAATATAATCTTTTTTAGAAGGTGTACGGAGTACATTTTCTAAATGCATAGGTAACATATAGATCTGCATTCAGTACATTTTTAATTTTCTACTGATAAAAACCCCTTTTTTCTAATACGGACAAAAGGGTCTGAATACATGTACTTAGAGACTTGTTGACAATGATAATGAAAACTGGCTGCACAACATTGACATTTCTGTACATGTCCTTGTCTGTATGCAAATTAGTAGTGACCTCTTGCATGTAACAGCAGATAAAAGCTTGTTTGGGGGAGGGACCAAGCACTACTAATACTTACATGTACACCTGTACAGGTACATATTACATGTAAATGTATCGGTACTACAGTTTACACTCAAATACCATACACATACATGTACATGTACATATCCATATCAGAGAAGGGATTTACATGTAGATGGTAACCCAAAAAAGCATTAATTACATTATGGGTAATTCCAGAAATTAGGGGTCCATTTCTTTTCGTGTCCCTCGATGTGACATGGTTTTTTTGTACATGCAAGTTCAGAACACATTTTCTAATTTCCAGGAGTGACGAATTAATGCAGATTACCTGCCAAACAAATGGCAACAGTTTGAAATCAATTCTAGTGGTATTTCCATAACAAATAACAAAGGGCAGATATAACAGGGGCACAAAAATGTAACACTTTTGGACACCTAATTTCTGGAATTACCCTGAACTTTTTAAAATTAGCGTTCCAACTGATGTTAGGCTCATTCAATTTAGTACAAAATTGATTGACGATCCAGATCAACATTCATTCCGCCAAAATAATCTTTCAATTTAACTCCAGGAGCATGCGATTGCATTTTTTGTTAAATAAAGTTTAAGTCGCTATTTAATTTAGAAAATCGTAGTAACAACAGTCGAATCCGCATGGTCACTGTGGTACTCATAATAGGCATGCAATTTCGTGCATAGGCAAGCATTTCTGACATCCGTGCAATGTTTTTCATCGAAGTGTAAATTATAAATTTTAAATGTTTGAGGTCTGAATAATGTATTCAAATGACATCATGAAGAGAACATGTTTCACTGGCAAAAAGATCTCTTAGTACACTAATCACCTTGGTGGGAGAACCTCTTATTCTATGAACTGTACGCCTATCATAATTATACAGAAACTTCCATATTGTCTCCAATATTCAGGCTACATGTACGTATACAAGGATATCCAGTGTTGATCGTGGTTGTTTGATCGAAACATTTGAGGGAAATGGTCAAGATTACCTAGAACTGGCAGCTAACCTTGGAATAATGAAAAGAAGGAAAAAATAATTGGTTTTGTATAATCCTAAATTTTTTACTTTAAAAGAAAAAATAAAAAGTTGATATTATCCCAAGCATTTACGTATTTAACAGAAGAAGAGTATATAGTTGTTAAGTTAAATGAAAGGTTGTGGATAATAAAGGTCCAGGGCAAATATCACCAGTGATCAAGAAGTTTCTGGAACTGTACGCCTATCATAATTATACAGAAACTTCCATATTGTCTCCAATATTCAGGCTACATGTACGTATACTTTTAAAAGCTTACATGTACAATGCAAATGTGAGTGCCCATTGACAAAAACAAGAGCAAAATTTGGGTACGAATCCACCTCCCAGTCACCCAGAGCGAAATTGAGTGACGCTTGTGCATCGTGAAATTGAATGATACTGTTGCTAAATTGAATCTGGAAATGAAAGAGCATGATTCGACGTCGACAAACGAAATTGAACGTACACAGTTTCGAAAATGAACCATGGGAATGGCTGGCTTTGAGAAATCGCTCGAATGTGAATGCATGTTCACGAATTCGAATGCGTTTTACACTAATTCAGCCAGAAAACCTATCGAATGCACATTTTGACTTCACACACACAAATGGTCCTTTTTATTCTGGACATGTACTTGTATACATGTGGTAAATATACATTAATTTACCATAACTTTTTAAGGTACGGAGGGGTTTTAGTGTAGCCTACTGTAGGCTACGTGTACTTGGAAAGTCTTCTGTGGTGCATGTAAAAAATTTACGTACCATCAAACTTCTGAGGACTTATACCGGTACATGTAGAAGACCGAACAGCTCTAACCAATGTCAACAAAAGTATGTCAGCAAGGGGAATCATACGTGTGCATGTACGGTATCTCCGCCCATTTCGGAGGTTGAGAAATTTGGGTGAACCTTGCTACCGTTATGTGCCTCAAATGTACGGTAGCAGCCTTTATAATCAAAAAAGCACTCGAAGTATCTGACACATGGTCATTCTTTAAATTAGGGGTCCAATTTTTTTTGTGTCCCTGTCACATCTGACATATGATTTTGTTATTCAGAGCACATTCTCTAATTTCCGAGAGTGATGAATTAATGCAAATTACCTGCCAAACAAATACCGGTAGAAATAGTTTGAAATCAATTTCAGTGATATGTCCATGTGAAATTACACAGGTCAGGTGAAAAAGTCACACTTTGGACCCCGAATTTAGAATTAACCATACCAGTGATGACAAACTGCACACTGACTGATACTGTGACAAGAATTACATACACCTGTAGAAGCCATTATATTGACAACATCCAGCTGGTGGGACAGATGGTGTATGGGGAGTACATGTACATCTATTTTGTCTCTTCCACTAATATGAAGTTGTGATAATTACCAGTGAAAATCTAAGAATGTGCGCCTTTCAGTGTGTATTGCATCCCCTTAGATTAATCTGTACAAGTTTCCTTTTAGCAATCAAGGCATCAAAACGTGACTTGCTCACGTACCTTGCTGATTTGCTGGCTCTTCTTGCATGCTGTTCCAACTAACGTTTTTTGGCCTTCTGTGAAGTCCAGTCACACTGCAGCGATCATGAGGAATTATCCATCACAGTCTCTTAGACTAAGAGAACTTGCATCCGGTAGAGTCCTTTTGGTGGGAAGTCGGGAGACCAAGAGACCATAACACTGGTGGACAGACAGCGTCAGGCTATGACCGAACTGTGGGTGGGCACGGAGCCAACAGCAAAACCACTGAACAGGACAGCAAAATCTACTGGTACTGTTGTTCTTGCATGTACATGCACTTGTTGTGGAAAGTAGAAGATGCAGGTATGGGTGCACACACATTTGTGCCTATGTGCAAGCAGTTATAGCTTACGCCATCAATAACCCAACTTCATTCCAACAGCGTACAGAATCCTTAAGCAAACTGTTCAGCCTCCATTTTTTTTTCCCATTTGATTTAAAATTGCTGATGCGGGAAAGCAGCCTGGGCTTAATGATACAAGGAAATGGAGGTGAACCAAGCAGAACTGTAAGAGGAAACACTTGCTCGAAGTCAATAATCCATGAAGGAAACCGATCCACAGCTGACCCTGTATTGGGAGAAATGATGGGATAACTAAAGCAGAAATCATTCTGTAAGCTTTTAAATAATCCTACATGACACATGCATGCTGTACACAAGTGAAGGTCATTATGCTAAAATTCATAGTAAGGGATTATTTTAACTTATTCAAAGTTAATTTCAAAAAAGTAACAATTGTAATGGTGGTGGAATTGGTTCATCTGTGGCATTTCAGACCAGAAATAAAAATCCACAACAAATCTCCAACAATCGCTCTGTTTTAGTATCTAAAGTACATGTATGTACGTGTATAGGGTTTACTTCTCCACCAGATGAGAGACGAAAATTCACATTTTGCATTAGATGGATTCTGAAAAGACACACAACTGTTTCAGTTCCTTATTTTGGATTACACTCAATAGATCCAATGCCAATGAACACTAGCCTTCTTGTTGGACTCTGATAAGAGGGACTGTTGGCATGGTTGGTACATGTACATGTATCTACATATCTGGAAAAAGCACTGAATTGAAAATCAACAGTTCAGTGTACAAGAAGTGCAGGTACAGTACAATCAAGCCTACCAAGTTGCTAGAAAAAAAAGACATTGGGGGGGGGTACTTTGATGAGAGTACGTCATTGTTTGATGACCTACCCTCAAGGCATTACTAACTGACACAACCAGTATTTACAAGAAAAGGACTAAAATACAAGTACATGTATACACTTCATAATAAAACTAAGGAAGTGTGCATGTCAACAACCACTTGACACCAGTAGCAGTCCATGCATAACAGGTGTCCTGATGGTCCCCGTTAGTATAATTAATATACTGTATGGTGCCAGTACATGTATACATATACACCTTTACATGTATGCAAAACAGCCAGCAGAGGTGCCCTCGTACATGTATATGTAAAGTATAAATCTCCAGACCAACTTTTCCGACAAAGGAAGCATATATACAGGTGTAGCTTACAATTTTGCATTATACATGATGATATTTTTTTTCTCCAAACATTGGCAGCAAATTTTTGGTTAAGATTTATCTTTACTACTTAGCATTCAAAATGAAGAATTTGACATTAATACCATGCCCGAACTCAAAGCAGGCTCTCAAATAAAACGATAGCATGGTGTTGAGGCTCCAGGACTTCTGACTTTTGAAAAATGTTTTAAAAATTGTTACTTTTGTATATTACATACATGTATGTACATGTGAGGGTATGTAACAAGTAAGGATTCTAGTGCACAGCATTTTCATCATTGTTACAATATTCCACATTATTATTATTATTCTTTTGATATTAAAAAACACTACTTTGTGGGAAATAAAAGGGCTGCAAAAATAATAAGGAAAGAGTTCTGTATACAGACAACACTTGATGGCCCTGTGCACAAACCTATGAGGTATGTCTGAAAAAATCTTGAGTGTTTTCAAAGTGACTGCTTCTGACATGTCTGAATTTTCTTAGCTAAATTTCACTTCTTAGGATATCACTTTCTGGTGGCTGTTACAATATTTTAAGGGAAACTTAGTGTTGTCTGTATATCGAACTCTTTCCAATAATGATGATAATAATGCAGCCTCTGGAGAGAAATATTTGCAGAATGTTTTCACCCATTTTTTTAGATTTACATGTATCTCCCAAAATACCACCACTTACATACATGTATGGGAATGTTTCAAACACAGTTGAAGTTGTGAATTTGAATAAGAAGGCCTACTCTAATTCAATATAGAACAAATCTTGAAAACCTGACAACCATGAGCCATGACAGCAAAGATGCTTTGCGAAAATTACCGAACAACACGTCTACACCACTGCTACTAATGCCAGCACAACTCTGTCATTGTAACGTTAGGTCGCTGCAGTTTGAATACGCAACACGCATACCGAAGAAGTTGCTGAGAGCATGCTGAGAGTTTGTAACGCCAGGCCCAAGGTCAAGCTAACTTACGGTGAACTTTCAAACTTAACTTTTTAATTATAATTTACAACCATAACGACAAGTAAATATCTATAAGGGCACACTAGGAGCAGACTTAGCTATTAATCTTAAGTTAGACTTAAAAGATAATTCACAAATTGGCGACGCTTACCATTTAGCTTCAGTCAAGCATGAGCCAACAGAGCAAGTATCTTGTATTGCGCGTTGTGGGCGCCGGGCATGGGTACCGGGTACGGGTGGGCTGGTGGTACTGTACTACTGGTACGTGATAGACATTGGGTGGTAGCCATAGAGTTGGATAATATCCAACTCTATGGTGGTAGCGTAGAGCCTTGGCTGGGCGCGGCGTGGCCGGTTAGCAGCGCGGCCGAAGCGCGCGGGAGGCTTTGAACTGCGCCCTCTTTTGTGCAAATACAAACATACAAGGCAGATTCCACTTGTAAAAAGGTAACGCTAACTATAAAAACGTTTAATATTTATTATCAGTGTGGAACACAAACAATTTTCAAACATTTTTTTATTCAACAGGAATTTTAAGTTTTATTTTATGACTTTTTTCCTTCAAATGTCAAATATCACCAAGAAATTTTTTCCAGGTTAAGTTCAACCACCTATTTTAGAAAATGTAGCAAGCCAATATGTACAGAGAGGCAAATTCAATTTCAAAATGGCGACTTTGTTGAAGATAAACCCCCTGCGAGAGGCACACAATTTGCTACCAAAATCAGAATTAGGCGATGAATCTGGTAATCTTTTTGGATTGTATGAATGTTTTAAAGCGTTGGTTGCATATACTTCAAAGCCAGTATGTATGGTATTGTGTGTGTCTGTTTGTGTGGGTAAACCTTAGCCTGCGAAATTAAAAATAATCATGGACATGGTTTATGTTGTTGAGTTTAATTTGCCGTCTTCATGGTCTATCTTGTGAGAGAGGAGTTATTTCATGTCGGCGACAAATGAAATCCCAAGTAGGCCTAGGCCTACATCAAAATCACACATGCATAGTGAAATTTATATAAAAATCAATGGGAACTGGTGTATTAAGTTTGATAATTGTACATAGGCCTAGTCTTGCTAGTCTAAATTATTAGTTATATTATTATTATTACCAACAGTCATGACAGTGGTCTTGTTTGTCTCACCAGGTTTAGCATGTTTAGGGGCCTACACAAACATGACAAATCTAAATCATGATCCGTAATCCGTCGTTGGTTTACAGACACCAAGTTGCTTAACATGCCTGATCATCTATGCTGTAATGGGTGGTGTGAACCAGCGTAAGGATCTCTGATCGCGATCCAGATCTGTGTGAAACAACATGAACAAACAGGCCCCATGTTGGGCGCAATTGGTTGATCAGCACTATTTGTGCATAGACCTACATGTAGTTTTCAATGTTTACATACATGTACGTAGGCCAAGTCTGACATGTCTGAGCATGGAGGTATGTCATGAGCATGATGAGAAAAAGAGTTCCATATACGGGCAACACTAATTTTCCCCTAAAATGTCCTAATTGATAACAACCATCAGAATCTACAAATCACTATTTGAAACATTTTGCATGGTCGGGCGATAGACCTATCACCCGCCTGACAATCATGACCATGCCAAATGTTTAAAAAGGCGATTCGTAGAGTCCAAGTTACTTAGACTAGAAAACACTTTTTTCAGATAAGTCTCTTAGGTTTGTGCACAGGGCCACCATGTGGTGTCCGTGTATGGAACTGTTTCCTGTAAGGAGTAAAGTAGGACTCTATGACTGCCTACAACTACGAATAAGAACTTTTATGACTACATGTAATGACAGTTGACCAAAAGAGAAAAAAAATACCATTACCAGCGAATCATGCAATAAGATTGACAGATTGCATAAAGATTGAGCGATAGCGCCCAGCATCAGTAACTATTGTACCTGTCATGCATGTATGCCAATAGATCATGTTAATTGAAGAGTTCCATAACTGCCGAGCCTGCAGTGAGTTTGAAACTTGGTGAATATTAGCTGAGTACTCGCTATCATAAATGATGATCGTCATGATTATGACTGTCGTCAATTTGATACTGGGGAGTCAGGTTATAGTGGTTTTCTTCATGTATACATAAATATAGTACCAGCGTTGGCTAAGCTAAAGTTACTCCAGCCTTATGCTTATGACATCTTGAAGTTTGGAAATACAGCTGTACCATTAATTTTCATTGAAGACAAGTCCATTCATCTTGGGAAAAACTGACATTCTCCGAGGGAAAGTGGTTTTGTAGTTGATTTCTAAAACTTGTTGGCGATTATGAAGTTGAGAATCATGTTGGCCAGATGCAAAATCCTTTCCTTCACTTCAAACACATGAAATTTAAAACTCTTTTGCAGGTGCAATGAACGGCCCATTCCGAGCCACGCAGCGCTGGAACAGCATCATCAAACACCTGCAGGACAATGTCAGCATCAAGCCCCACAAGACCAAGACCAAGCGATTGGAGGGATGCTTTGCCGGCGCCGAGGCTGTGGACGTCCTACTTCCCTACTTGCAGCAGAGCGGCTTCGAAAGGGATATCTCCAGGGAAAATGCCATCAAATTGTGTCAGGTACTGCCCAATTCCAGCAAAATTCTATTTAAATTTCACTAACCTCAAGGGTCGGGGTTGAGGGAAATTACATGTAACATCAGTTTAAAGACCAAATTAGAAGAAACAGTTGTGAATTTTCAAAAGAGATTGCTTTTAGGGTACAAACATATAAGAAGAAGTCACTTTTTAAGCTGACCAGCTTACATGTAGATTTTAACAAGTAATAAAAACTAACTTACATGTACAGGTGTACCTGACATCGAAATTTCCATCTGGTTAGGACAGAAAACCTCAAATGAAAACTTTAACTTGAAAATAGAGGTTACGAGTTGCTGGTGTCTCTGTGGTGTCTCAGAGGCTGTTTTTGTAATTTCAATTTAGCTACAATTTAGTTTGCTCGAGCCTATCCCAGTGATACAAAACCATTGCCTTCTAAGGACACATAACAAATAACCTCTGTAGAATTTAACAATGCTATTTGGGATGTCCTCTACTATCTACTTACTCTAACCCAGGTTTTTGTTTTCTTGTTTCTTGCAGTTGCTGCTGGAGCAGAGTATAATTGAAGATGTGCTGGCAACATCCCAGCCACCCCTAAATACTAAACCAGCCTTCCAAGATAACAGCACTCACTTTTACAGGTAATCCCCCCATTCTCTCTGTCATGTTCTCCTCCACAAATACATCCGAATACTCGCTGCATTGGTGTCTGTGTTTATGATTCTGTGAGAGAGTTGGACACAGGGTCAGAATGTGGAGAGGAGGTTTATTGGAGTTACGGACATGACGGAAGAAAAATGAAATAAGCTTAATTTGTCTTGCTTTTGCATTTGATGTTGGTAAACTCGTTTTCGGTATCCACATCAAACAGTGTTGAGGAGCCAATGTACATGTACCTCAAAAACTCTCCGGGACTATGTCATTAGATTTTTACTGGTAACCTTTAGTTTCTGTTTATTCAAAACATTTTGCTCTTCTGAATGATTTTGTATGCAAGCTGCTTGACATTCTTTAGTCCCATTTTGCAGAGAAAAAACAGCAAGTACACGCAGAGTAATGATTACTCACAGATCATAATGCAGTTTGCAAAAATAAAAACAAGTCATTTTATTGCGTATTGATCACATTGTCCGGGAAGTTTGTGTACAGGATATTTATATGAATTGCTTTGATTTGTCTGCGGACAGGTTTGTCAAAGATACAAACAAAAGCCACAGGAGTAGCCAACGTCTGTCAGACACAGCCAGATACCGTGCAGAGAAAAGGTAAAAATGGAGTCTTCTTTTATTCCAGATTTCCCCATCAACAGTGCTAAATTGTCTGCGTAATTTGCTAATTGGTGTGCTGTTGTTAATGTACAGATCGGCTGAGGATGACGGGCAAAGTTGTCCACACTTTGACAGGAAGAAGAAACTACGGCACAGCTTTGGGGCTGGCAAGTCCAGGAATGAAAACCGGTAAGAGCTGATGTCTTGGCAGGGCCAACTCCGCCTGAGAAAAATCAAATACAATTCATTTCAGTGCGTTTTAAACTGCTTGTCTTTATATTGTCCGATGGTAAAATATTTCAGATGCGATGAGAACGATGGTACGTCCAGTTTCGCCATCCTCTTTGACCGCAAGAAGAAGAAGAGATCCAGCTTTGGGTTTGGGAAGCTAAAAGCAGAAGCATTGTCAAGGTGGGCCACAGATTGTCGTAAATACTGCTTCCAGTTTTGAAATGCATAAAGATGGACATGTTTGATCAGCAGGTGCTATAAGAGAATATAATCTTAATGTTTTCATCTCTTTTCTCTCTTCATGTTTCAACTTAATTGCAGTCGAGAAAAGTGAAATCAGTACCACTCAAACAGATTGTTGATTTTGTGTTGTAGTTTTAAACAATGGCCAATGTGTAATTCCACAGTGAACTTGTCCAAGGTGCAGTATGTTGTGTGTGTTATATAGAAATGCTGGCTTTTTAATTAAAACTTGACAAGATACTGCAATCCCAGTCCTTTATCAAGTCAGATTTTAAAATGGTGACCCTTGGTGGTCATTTGTTCAGGGTTTGTGCAACATTTCCTACCGCTCTGTCAAACGCTGAGACAGTGTTGCAGAGCGATATTTGCTGCAATGCTCTGCCACGGCACATGTCCACTTGAGGATTCCACACAAGCTCAGCCTCCATGTACCAGTTTGAGCCCCTTGTTTGCACACAAACCCAATGGGAATCTTGGAGGGAATCTGCACACAGACTTCACCCGAATGAGTTAAAACATCCCTCCGTGTTACGACTCAGGAAATCCCTGCATATTTACATGTACGTGTCATTTGGTGTGGAGTGGCTGATGTTGTCACTACTCTGCCTTTTGACATACTTCCCAGGGTGGATGAAGGGAACCACCTAGACACGCCAGCTGAAAAGAAGAAACGCAAACGGAACAGTTTCGGCTTAGGACGACTCAAGACAGAGAACAGGTTTGCTGGATTTTGTGTCACAATTTCAGACAAAGAAATCTGAATGACGAGAGAATACAGAGGAAGAAATATTTACGTTTTTTGTGATATTTTCATTGATTTTCATTAAAATTAACAAATTGCTCTGTCAGGTTACAAAAGTATTTGGTGGAAAGTCCTTTGAAGGAAAATAAGGAGGGCTTCCTTCATCGTAGGTATGATGGAAACAACTCTGGATAGTAAATGCTTTAAAAGTCTGTGCCATAAAGTTTGGGTTGGAAGAGGCAAGGCCACTGGTAGGGTTCAAAGGACACTTGTATCAAGCAAATTCACGTGCCTTTTAGGAGCATTTCAACTGAGCTACCAAGGCCAAGACCAGGACAAGAGAGGCTTCTGAGACCTCTGTTGTCTGTCTTGTTTATAGTCAAGCGGGGAATGGCATTCTTGTCTCTTGGTGCCTTGTTCTGATTCAGAGCACCAGGCCCTGGAACTGAAAGGAGAGAAATAATCAGTGAACAAATCCGTTTGCCCCCCTCTAAGTTGATACACCAACATGACAGAGGAGCAGCCTAGTCAATGTAAATATACAGTCGAGCACCTTCACGGTAAGGTCCTTAGGACTTTGCAAATTTCCTCATTATTACCGGGAATGGAGAACGAAGAGTAAAAAGTCTCAGGATCAAAAAATGTCTTTGATATAAGCAGAATGTTGCATTAAAAATGCTCATATCAAGAGAAAAACTGTAATCAAGTTTGCTGTTTTACCTTGTCGTTGGTTTTTGCAGTTACAATATTAGTGGGTCTTGTGAGAGTATCCCTCAATCCGGGGACAAGAGGAGGGCAAGCTTTCGACTGGGCAAGCACAAACTGGAATCCAAGTGAGTTAGGATGGCTGCTAAAGGCTGTCCATTGTGCCTTGGTACTGTAAGCTCAAAAGTTCCACAGAGCTGAGTGCACAACACTTGCCAACCAGAGGGTTGTTTGGATAGGTAAAAACAGGTTACCTAGGTTGCTGTAATCTCCAACATTCCGTTTCGAATTTTGTTTGGCTTGAAATCCCTGGGAGAGTTTGAGTGACAACTTTGGTCAACCAGCGTCTCCCAAACGAAGGACGATTTGTTCTATTAGGCGACAGTTTGGAACAGACGAAACCATTCACATGAAAGCAACTGTGTAGGATGTCTCATTGGCCCTTGAGTGTCACAAGAGTTGAAGCCAATGGCTCAATGTGAGTGGTGATGAGATTTTACAGGATAGTTCAGCTGGGTTTTTTACGAGCGTGACTGTATTAACCAGTGGTTAAACTAAAATTTGCATCCAGACTTTCCCCTTGCTATCTACCTGTCTGATGACAGTTTTCTGCGTGGTCCTTATTCCTGACAATGCAGAAGTGGCAGTGTAGGCTCCCAGGAGTCCCTGTCCCAACCGGAGCACAAGAAGAGCCGACGAAGCTTGGGCAGTTTCCGTCTGGGGAAACGGGCCGAACCAAGGTCACTCGTGTTCACTTCTGTACAGTTGAATCTCTGTAATAAGAGGTCCTTCGGACTTCACAAATTATCTTGTTGTAACAGGAACCTTGTATTATTAGGAATGAAAACAATGATTAACGAAAGATTAGGATCTAAAAGTTTCCTTGTTATAAGCAGAATGTTATTAATAGTATTTCCATCCATGGTTTCATTCAGGCAGGGCATATCGTAGTTTTACATATTACAAGCCCATAGAAATTTCTTATGATTTCTTATGTGAGTCAATAAATTTCCTGGCCATCTCCAACACATTCTATTGACGTGTTTCTACCCTCTCTTTACATAGAAATAAGGACATTGAGACAGCCAGCATAACCTCAGAGATGTCACAGCAAAGTGAGACCAAATCTATGAGCAGTGGCAAAAGCAATCAGTCGGGTGATACTGACCTAGAATCTGTCCAATCACTGACCTCCTTGGACAGCCTGAAAGCAGAGTTTGGTGAGTACATATTTACTCATTAGTCACAGAGTATGTGCAGTTACTCATTACCAACTGTGGATGAAGCTGGAATAAACAGAAGACGAGATTGGTGATAGAAAAAGGAGTTGGACGGGTGCCAAACTGTCTGTTTTGAGTTCTTATGAGTGCTCAGTGTAGTTTTGTTGAATTTTTACTCACTGAGATTTACATTTTATGGTAATTGGCGCAAGTAGTTTAATAGGCAGCCAGAGAGTTGGGGTTTGAAGGGATTATATGAACATACCCAATCATGGTAGTCACAAAGAAGATCTGTTTTAACATATTTGCTCTCTTGGATGACTCAAATTCATTCTCAGAGTAGATCTCAGTAACCAAGGATTCATTGTGCTGGTATTGTCTCATTGTGAGACAAGTTGGAAATGAATTTAAGGACAGTTGAAGTGGTAGAACAGAATTGATTGATGCAGTATGTTTTGGCTTTCCTTTTAGATGTGAATGAGATCTGGAAGGAGTCTACCATTCAGAGGCTGTTGGAATTAGTGGATATACCCATGCTGGAAGATATTCTCTTTTGCACTGAGAACTTTACAGTACCGAGTTATTCCAGTGGGAGTGTAACTAAGCGTGGGAACAGCAACAGACAACAAACAACTCGGTAGAGACAGATTGCTACTGCTAATGAGAAATGGTCACCCTGCCTTCCATTTTCATTTATGATGCTCTTCCATTTGGTTCTCATATCGAGTGTCAAATGTACACTTTACTGTCCCGTTAATATAATTTTTTGGGATCAAATTTGTGTAGCTTACTTACGACTGTAGTTGTAGCAGTTTTAGAGTCTTACATCATCTACACTTGCCTCCACCCCCTCCCAGAGATCAATGGCTATCGTCAGCCCTGGCCTGCCTGCATTCACACCCAGACAGCTCCACCATCACAGACAGCTTCCTCAGCGCCAACAACAGCCAGTCGCAGTCTGCCGTCCACGCCCGCAAGCTCCTCCTCTTCCAGACGCTGACCAATCACATTGGGGAGCGCCGACGACCGTTGATGCCAACGGAGTTCCAGGACATCCTGATGGCCGTCCTGGGGTCCATCGCCCGAGGGAAGACCTCCAGAGCCATTGAGTTGGCCCAGCTGGCCTTCACGATGCTGGGGGCCGGTGAGAGAGAGGAACTGCAGAACTTGCTTCATTTCATGGCGTCGGCGAGCTCGAAAACTGCTGTCAGACTAAGCTATGAGGTATGCCCGTATAGTTCACAGTTAAAAGGGCAATGGAAAGCCTCATAAGACTTAAAGGCTGTGATGGACACGTTCCTGCTGTGAATTGGAAGGCTTGGAGCAAGTTATTGTCGCAATTTATTAATCTAATTTTGTCACACTATAATTTCTTTCCAAATTATGCTGATGGTCTTGCTTTCAGCAAGTAAAAGAATATCTGTGATTATAATTTAAGAACTGGAGAAGTTCCAACACGTAGCCATAAATTCATCTGGGGATCAAGTTACGGTTAAAAAATTCTGTTGTAATATCAGACAATATTTTGTTAAGTTCAGTTGGTTAATATTACTTTCCAGTGACAGGTCACTTGCATTTTAGAATTTTACAGATGTTGGCTCATGCTAGGTAAATCAACACCAAACACCGACTTCTCTATATACACAAGAGACCCACTGAACTTTGAACTGTGACCTTCTGTCTGGTACAGATCGACAACCGTGTCACAGTCATCACATCGTTCACACCGGCCATCATTCCGAGTCGGATCGTCTCCCCAATCCAAGCCAAGAACCTGGTGGCATTCATGATGGATTGCGTGGATCGGGTCTGTGAGATGCCGCCCCTCGTGGCACAGAGGGCGGAGAGGAGAATATCCCGGCTGAAGGCCGGCCAACGAGATGTCAGTCAGGGTATGTACCTGTAAAGCCAAGATTAAGATACCCTGCACAGGGCGTATGTCGGATCAAACCATGCAGAGCTTTTAATTGAATGGGAGAAAAGAGGTTTTAGGCTTTGAGTGCCGCACTTAGTAAAGTCTTGCTTACTATCTGGTGCAGTAATTCCTTCATTTTGTGTAGTTAAGTAAACTACATTTAGATAAAAATACTCACTTTTCTTACACTGCAAACATCCTTTTCAGCTGGAGTTTTCTGGTGGTTTCCTTGACTGTTCCTCTTCCTTTTGCCACAGATAACCCTAATCCCAAATGCCCCTAAAACTGTTTTCAAGAAGGGGGGGTAACCTTGTGTGGACCTTGCTTTAGTCCGCACAACGTTTGCACAACCTGCACAGTGTGGACATCTTCTGTTCATGGGTCCATGCTTGGTAAGGTTGCTACAGCAGTGAAGCATCTCTGTGAATGTAGCTTTCTAATAAAAAAAACCCGAGTTGTCAAATGAGCAGGACTCTAAACCAAAGGAATAGAAAAAGAATCTGTGTCCAATTTGCAAGAATACCCTGAGTCTTGGAGACGTGGCAGTATTACAGAATTTTGTAAGAATACACACATCATAGTAGCAAATACCAAACTTATGGATTGACACCCTGTGGATTATGGTTGGTTGTTTTGATGCCCTACAAATGAAGACATTGCCTTGGAACCCCAGATCGTCACAATAACCTGAAGGCAATACTAGCAGTGCCCCTTTAACCTTAAGCAGGGGTGTGAGAATTCAGCGTTTTAGCTGATTTCAGCTTTTTTTGTTTGGGCCAAACAAATAAATAGCTGTGTTTCCGGTTACCCGACCCAACCTAGACAATCATGCAGAACCTATATCTTTTTATTCGACAAATCAATAAAATATAAAAACTTACGGTGCCTTGCCCCAAGCCTAATTTTGTGTACACCGTCCTGTACATTGTAATATATTTTTTTTTTTTGCATGAGATGGACAGCTCTTGTGGTTTTGTATTTCAATAACCAGCTGCTTTACTACTCAATCACAGTGCTGATATGTAATATTGACATGCACATGTACAGTATGAGGCTGACACTGACTTAGTGCCTGTTACAAATATATGTGCCCCACTCCAAATACAGACCATCATCCGACCCTAAGTTTTTGGGATATAAAAATTTAGAGTAAAAAAACAATATTTTACCCAACCAACCACCCTGATTGATTTTTCAGTGTAATAGGAAACACAACTAATTTTTTGTTTGGCCTTAGTTTGTTGACCCGGAATTCTAGCTTTTTTGTACACCTGGTCTGCACAAAAGTATGCTAGCTGTTTTCAGCAAGTGGCCACTCACACCCCTGCTTGAGTTCCTACCTTGGTTAAGCTGTGTTTAATAGCACAGTCGTTTGTATCATGCACACTATCAACCCAAAAAGTATACAGGGTGTGCCAAAACTGGCATATGCATTGCTCTACTGAACATACCCAAAGGCAGACCCTGATGCATATTACATGTGCTGTAGTTGGGTCAATCCAAAGTCAATCACAGCCCGAGAAGTCTCAAACTACGAGCTATTGGAATGAACTGCAACAAAGGTATTCGCCGTTGCTGGGGTTTATATTGAATGGTTTGACATTTGGCACAGTGAGAGATTTTTTAGGTCCTCAATGGGGACAAATATACCAGGCCACCTGACCACTGAGTTGTTTGTGTCATTTTCAGCATGTGCACGTTAGCTCAGGTGTGATGCAAACTATAGCAGGCCAGTGACGTTAGATTGGTTGGTTTGCCACCACTATGCATCTCAAAATCTCCCATTCCTTTGATCAGCGCATACCTTTTTAACCTACTCCTCAGAGTCTTCCTGTGTCCGAGTAACTCCTCAGCAGTACCACCAGCAGCGCACGGCAGGCACGGACGCCGCCCTGCGTGACTTGACCAACGCCGTCATCGACGACGTCAAAATACCCCTCAGGGACAAGAAACAGCACCTGCAGGACCTGAAGAAGCACCACCCGGCAGTGTACGATAAGAACTTTGCCGATATGCTGTAGTAACGTTAGCTAGCCGAGCAGTAGTGCTTTCCTTTATTTGCAGCAGAGGTGAGAGTTTGGCCGGAGAGAGCAATCGTTGCAGTGAATTTCACTTGCTTTTTTCCTTCTTGGAATAGATCGTATTCAGTGCCAGCTTTTGGGCCTGTCAGAGGACACATGATGTGGCCGCAGGTTGCTAGGCAAAATTACGTTGTCGTGGTGATAGGAAGTCATCACTAAACTCTAGCATTCATATGGAGAATGAATCAAGCCTGATCAAAACAAAAAGACCATAACTGAAAAATAAAAAAAAAGTGGCTCTCTGATCAACTGACTCTGATTCATTTGTTGGAAACAAAGTGGATAGGATTTCCCAGTACTCCTCTTTTGACACTCTTAGCTATACAGTTGATTTTCCTTTTTCCCCAACTCTAAGCAGTTGATATACCACAGATTGCATCATGATGATTTCGCTGATTCGTGAGCAAATAAGGCTCCTCCAATGAAGAAAGCACTCAGCGTACCATGATATGACAAAGAATTTAAATTAGCTTTCACTGGCATTGAGTCATCCGATATAATGTTGCAGCGTGTCTTCTGAAGGCTCACTGCTGACACGCATGATTCATTTTTCCGGTTGCAGCAGCAAAAGTCATGCAGTTATGGTCAACACTCACCGCACTTGGGCACAGATCCAGCAACATCAAAAGAAATCATGCAATCACAACGTTTCTCAGTTTGGACCAATCAGTGTTGAGAATTTCATCCAATGGAATCTGTGTTGGTGTTTGTTTATGCAAAGTTCCATATAAACTCCAGCTCATCATTTCAAAGATTTAGCTTTTCCAATGTCATTTTCCTGAGCTCATTAAGGGGTTTCACTCCATTTATCATAAAACACCATTTCATCTCCATTGGTATTGGGCCACCACTGTCTGAAATTAATCTCGCATAACAACCTACTGAGCTTATAGGTGCTAATTTCTTTACAGAAACTATGCAGTTGTACTGCAGCACCACGGACGTGTATAATAAAATCTGGACTCGCAATGCCCTTAATCAGCTTATAGAGTCATTGAATCCACTCGTGGCCATTTTACTGAGCCGAATACAAAACTTTCCTGGCAGTGCCCGCCTTTGTTCTTCCTGACGTCAATAGAAGGGAGCCAGCCCACGCTTTTGTATCCGGCTCCGTAAAATGGCCGCTGGTTGGCTTTATTTTTCATACAAGGCATTGCAAGTCCAGGTTTTTTATATACGTCCGTGCGCAGCACATTGCCTCGTCTCAGGCACAGTTAACAAATCCCATCTCCTGGATTTTGCATTGAATTTCACGCTGTCCACATTCAATGCAGTGCATTCTTCTTACTGACGGCATGTGTGTCATGTACACTGTCTCTGCAGCATCAGTAAAATAGCTCCAGGTCACGGAATTGGACAAGCTAAACACAAATTGCAAGGCCAGGCTACACCGTGTGAAATACATGCGCAGTTCAGATTCTGGTTTCCATCTGGTATGTGCAAATTGCAAACAGCGACTGGTTAGAGAGTTATAGCAAACGGACACTCGAACTCCATCGCCATTGTGTGCCCGGCAGCCATATGAAAATGCACATTGTGCACATTCTGTCGAAAAGTATATCTGCATGCTCCGCGCCATGCAGGTACCTATGTCTGAGCTATCTGAAGTATTCACACAGTAAGCATGCTACTGTGGCTGCAAGGAGACCATGTTCTGAATGAAAAAAAAAACTTCTTTTTTTGTCCCAACAGTGCATCCAGTTGTGCCAAGTTCTCCGCAAAGATGATCACGTTCACTGACAAAAAAAAGTGATCGATAAGTTTACGCCTTAAAGGTCTGGAAATACTGCATTCTTAGTCTGAAGGGGGACTGCCCAACCTATTGTTACGAACAATTGTGAGTTTTAAGGCTGGTTCGAATGTCACGTAAAAACACAGGCCCTATGTTTATATGGGAAAGGCTGCTAAATTAAACAAGGGACAACTTGAGGTTTTACCCTGAGGTACCCCACAAAATCATGGTAACCTTGTCAACCTCAAGATGTACCATGAGTTACCTCTTGTTTAATTTTCCATCCTACCCTAACACATATCTGAAGTCTTGGGACACTTGTGAAATTTGCCAAAGTCAGCATGTGAGCACGAGTATTCGTCCTGATGTAACAAATTTGAGATCTGAGGCATTACCAAAATTAAACTTTCATTTCTATATCTATTGCTTGGGCAGATGTCCAATTTTCCACTTTAAGGATTTGTAAATTTGCCCCATCTTCCCTTTCTATAATATAAATATTTCTGTTTTCTGACCAAATTTTGCTGATAGCATTAAATATTTCTGTTCTTGATAATGCCAAAGTATTACATGTAAATATTTATACATACCAAATATATGTACGTGTATTCATTATTTAGGAAGTTAAGTCCAATTCTTTGAAGAGGATTTTGATTTGCTGGGGAAAAAAATTGCCTTTTTCATTTAAATATGAATGGAAGCCAAAATAGAGACTGCATAATTATACATGGATTGTGAAAACGTATGAGTAATTTTATAGTAGATCTGAATTAATGTTATTCTACAAAAATGTAAAAATTAAATATAAATTTATTCTGTTGCAAATCTATAAAAGCCTTAATTTTTCTTGCATTAGGTTTGTCATTCATCTTTTTTGTCCTTTCTTTTTCACTGGTGCCATTCCTTTACTGGCTGTTAAACATTTTTTAGAATTGAAGTCAATCAGACAATGAGATTTGCAATCGATCCATTCATGTGAGAGGCTATATCTGAACGGGACCTGCACCCTCAGGCATGGAAGTTACAGGTACTAATGGCTGCAGCCACTTCCAAAGGCTACATGTCTCACTGTAGCCAAGCCATGTAGTTTGAACAAGGGCTTATTTCTGTATCAGTCTGTCACAGTGCTGCTATATGGGTAATTCCAGAAATTAGGGGTCCATTGTTTTTCGTATTCCTGTCGCATCTGACTGATGATTTTGTAAGAACGCATTTTCTAATTTCCAAGAGTGGTGAATTAATGCAAGTTACCTGCCAAACAAATAGTAATAGTTTGAAATCAATTTCTGTGATATTTCCACGTCAAATAAGAAGGTCAGATGTAACAGGGACACAAAAATGTCACATTTTTGTCTCCCCTAATTTCTGGAATTCCCCATGTACAAGAACTTAGAGTGTATGTGTCGCTTTCATAGTTAAAAGAATGTCACCTGGAAAAATCATGTTTCTTACTGATCCAAAGCTTCACTTGGCACATTTATTAGCTATGTGATAAACTCTGCCAAGTTGCTCTATGACATTTTGTTCTATACCTGAAGATTACTCAAGTGATTCTATTCCACATCAGCTGTGAGCAAGTTTAAGTATTGGACCGAGGCTGACCATACTTGGACTTCTTCCAAGATAATTCAAGAAAAGGCTCTCCTGATGATTACTGATCACTTGTGGCATCAGTGTCAGCCATCTTTGATATCAGCACATGTCGAAAAAATAGCCACTGGCTAGATGTTTCTAAGACTATTGCTATTGGCATGCTGCTGGCTAAAACCAAAACAGCAGCCCCAACACCTTTTCAGACAGCCTGGCAATAAAGATCTCAAACTGCACAGGACTATGGCAGGATGTGACTTGAGTCATGTCTGTCCCTGATTGGCAAGGCCTAGGTGAGAACACACCTAGCTATCTAATGCCATCAAGAGACAACTAAACTTGGATGATCACAGCAAAATCTCTGGCAATGTAAGCATTGCTGTAAAATGTACATGTACTAAGAAAATGCTTTTAGAATGAAGTTTGCATTGTAAATAAGAGAAGTACAGAAATAAAGTCAAAAATCAGTGATATGATTTATTTGATATGTATGTTTATTTTTCTGCATTAACAAGACCCCCATCGTCCAAAGTAAACTTAATGTGCAACATTGTATTGAGCACATTTATGTTATAACAGTTATTGTTGCTGTTTAACTTTGATTAGTAGAAATATTTCAAGATGTACTTTTGCATCAGGGAGATATTAATTTTGATTACAGGTGTTTTGCCCTTAGTAGAAATAATAACGTCATAACCCGTACTTCCAACTGTCAGAGAATGGACCCTCTTATATAAAAACTGTCAGTAATGTATTACAGTATACTTCTCCGGCCTAAATCCACAGTCATGTGGATTTCTGAGCAAGGTTTTCAGCCTTTGACCAACTTGGCCTGATGCAATTCGACGGCGAGGCATTTACAGTGTATCCTCGGCTTTCATCGCATGGGCACCAGTAGGCTTCAAAGGGAAATGCTCCCTGCACCTGTCAGAAAGCATCTGTCCACTGACAGCAGCTCCCTGGGGCTAATGAACTCTAACAAAAGGTCTGATCACAGCCACAGCATCTCCCATCAGATAAGAGCTTGAGAACGATCGGTACATCCTAATACGTTCAGACGTGGGGTGTGCCGTGTAAGTAAATCCACTCAAACAGGTACGTGTCCAACTTGTTCTGTAGTTGTGGAGGCTAAACACATGTTGAAACACAGATGTGGCGGGGACTAGTTCTTATCCACGCAACTCGATCCCAACTCTCCTTACAAGAAACTGTCTTCTAATGCGGTGCAGGCTTACGCTACATTCCAAACATACTCGCTATGCACATGTATGTCAGTTACTGACAACCAGGCCAATCGGAGTTTACGGGATGAGGGAAAGCAGCATTGTCGTCCACTAGGATGTCCGCTTTTGGACGTCCCTCTGTCCTCGTGTAACAGGAGGTCTAGTCTCCAATTTGTCTTGTGACTAAAACGAGTGCTATCAAGAAGTTTCAAACTGCAGGTGTGCTTACAGCCCATCTGTCACACACACAATACTCAATGTTCTCTGTATCACGGGACATGTGAAGGTTCGCACTGAACAACCCCCTTTATGTTTATGAACCACTGCGCCTCCGTCAGACGTCAAATTTCTCCCAGCAGATGCTGTGTCCATGTTCACTGTATTCATCTCTTGTCACCATCAGCGAGGAGAAGTTCTTGGACGTGCTGAGAAGTTTGCCGCCCTCCCATGCATGTGTGATGGGGCTGTCAGTGGCAAGTCGTCAAACAAAATAAAGAATTTACATGAAAAATGCTTCAAAGCAGACCATCATAATGAGTCAGCCACACTGAATTGAAAAAGACATTAACTCCTCATCTTGGAGATTTTACAGTAAAAATAAAAGCAGCTAACTAAAAGTTGACAAAACACTTATACTAGTCTCCTTTGATAGAGAGTTTAATCCTTAATATACCTTCAGGTTTTAAACAACACTTTCAAAAATTGAAAGTGGGATGTTGCATGCTTTCCAGTCACAAATAGTCTGGTACCATCCCAATTCAACAGTTTATAATTTACCAAAAGGATTCAGGGAACATAATCAAAAGTGGTCAGTAAGAAAGACACGAATGTAATTCATGGATTTCTTCTCGTCAGGATAAACACTTTTGTGATTTTTTGTTCTTATTCTCTAACAGGTCAGTTTTAGTAGATTACATTCCAATGTTTAAAGTGCTCTGTAAGGCACATCGGAGCAAAGTTGTAAGTATTCTTTGGCGCAAGCAATTGCATTTCACCAAGTCAACCAGTAAATGAAAAAGCTGACAGATGCTGACAACAGAGGGGGTTTTTAATGTCAACTGCTTACTTGTCTGGTTTTGTCACACGGACATCGTACAGCGCTGGCGCCATGGACCTCACATCACTCTCCACTCGCTCTTTGAAGCCGGGGAACATGGCATTGCCACCCGTCAGGAGGATGTTTTTAAACAGGTGAGGTCTCATATCTAGCACATAATAAATAAAGGTTCAGCGAATTGCCAATGCTGCACGAACACTAACATGTCAGAAGGTTGGCTTATTTGCAAAACAGAGAGGGACAAGATGGTGACCAGACCAACCCACCCAGACCCACCACAGCTCAACAGAGCACAGTCTAGTCAAAGTCTGTCCAAGCAAAACCCAATCAAACCTAACGCCATACAGTGCAGTACTTTCCCTCAACCAGCCAAACTTTGGCATCCCGGCCAACTGTGTATATCTGTGTATTTTGGTTAACATGGAATGCCTTGCACAACTTTGTGCTTGTTTAGGTTTTTGCCACCTCTTCTCAAATCAGTCTTCTGATGATATTCTTTTATATTTCATGTTACAAGCCCAAATGTCACTAAACCTAGACAAACCCAACATGACCCAATCTAGCCTAGTCAAACCCACCTTAGCTAAACCCAGTCCATCCAATCCAAACCCAGTCAAACCCAATACCATCCAATCCAGCCAAGTCAAACCCACTAAGCTAAACTCAGTCCATCCCAATCAAACCCAACAACATTCAATCCAGCCCAGTCAAACCCAACACCACCCAATCCAGCCTAGTCAACCCTAGTCAAGCCCAGCTCTGCTTACTGATACAGCCTACTAGGCAAGTCTACCTGTGGGACAGTTGTTGATGACATGCACTATGGCTTCAGAGACACCCATTTCTTGTATGCCGATGTCAGATGGATGGAACAGGATCTCAGGTACAGCAAACCTTTCATTGTTCATCCGAACAGTCTGCAAGAACAAGCAATTATTAGCCTTAACTCCCTGGTTGTGTGTGAAATCATATAAAAATTGGAAAATTTAGATCTGGTAGGAGGCAAGAATGCACTGGCAGCCAAAGTATTCTTCATTCACATTATCATCTTTTAACTTGGATGGGTCCAACAGATCCTGAATTAGTACGTGCTTCGTACTTGTTTGAAAAACCCACATCTTCAATGGCTCGCCACAAATAATCCATGTATAAAATAACACTGATTTCAGACAACAGAGTGACAGAGGACATTTCATTCCAGATTCCAGGGAAAATGACCTGAGGAGCTGAACGATATCATGATGTCTGTCTTTTACCTGCTCATGAGGTTTGAGTTTAGTGTCCTCTTGCTTCAAATAACCTCTCTTGGAGTGAGAGAAGTCTGGTAAAATGTAGTCCCTGACAACGGTGTTCTCCTTGCTCTTCAATCTGGAAATTAAAGGCAGGCAAAACAGTTCAGGGGAACAAGCTGGGATAATATATGGCATTCCCCCCAACAAAAAAGAAATGGACTTTAACGTAAAACAAGTTATACAGTTGACTTGTAGAAGCAAGAGAGACAGGCCCCCCAGACAGACCAAAAGGCCTCCATGATGACTCAAAATAACAAATAATTTCGATATTTATCGTTACTTTGCAATTTTCATGTCGCCGTAGAAGTCAAGAGACACATAGCAGACATCTTCTTTGACCTGGTTCATGACGTACGTCTCATCCATGACGTGTAGTTGACGATATGAGATGATCTCCTTCAGGTGATTGGTTAAGACTTTTCCGCCGATATTTACTCTGATAAAAAGGGCAACAAAAATGTCACCATCTTGAAACTCCCCAACATGTGTGATTCATCATTTATAGAATGTGATGCTTAAACTAAAAAATATCCAAAAGCAGACAATATGTGGGGAAAAAACATCACAGTCTTGGAGATGAAAATACATCTACCTTTGTCTTTGAAGAGGGGAAAAAAGGGCCATCGATCCAAATTATCTCCATCCAACAGCGCAAATGATAATTAGAAACTGTAAGTACCTAAAAGCTTTCACACTCAAGATCTCGTGTTTTGAAATATAGTGCCTTGTGGAGACCCAAGAGAATGGGTTGAATAGGTCTCCACAAGAAAATTCTAAAGGTGTACAGGTCTCCACAAGGATTTCATTTGAATTGACTGTGCTGCACATGCGCCTTGCTAAAAAGACACTGACCAGTGGTCGAACTAGAGTTTGCACCTCAACTTGACCACTAATTGCATCTGCTGAGGTATGGGTCACTACTCACCTTCTTATTGAACTACCCACTTTCTTGCCATTGTAGTAAGGTGCGATGTGAGTGAATGAGTACCCAGAATCCACCAGGAGACAGCACAGCTCATTAGGCTCCTCCTGCCTGTTCTTGAACGCGCTCAAGGTACCAGCTACAAACCAAGAGGGTGGACAAACAACTACGAGTGAACAGCAGACATCCCCGTCAACATGGAGAAACTTCAGTTCGGGCAGTACAGACAGAATATGTGGTATGGCATGGGATCATTTGAGAACATCAATATGCATGTGAGAATGTGGCCAAATCAACACAACCATACACCAACTCACATACATTGAACATGTTTGAGATAGCATGACATAAGATGCTTCGTTTCCGAATGTCCCTGCCTTAATCTGTTGATGAAATATCATATTTCCTCACTGACCAATAACCCCCACTGACTCCTCAATTAGTTTGGGACTATTGGAATTAACAAAAACCCTCACTCTGTGCATTTGTTTAATGAAGCACATACTGTTCTGGAGTACTACTTAAATACAACGACCCAAACTCCATGGGTATTTTGTGCTAGGACCTCAACTTCCCCCCATCCCAAATCATCTACTGTGCAGGAAACCGATGTTACATTCTTTATTCTGCCAAAAGCAATCAAGCCCCAAGTAATGGATTGCTCCACTCTTCCTGATCTCTCTGATTGTTTTTGAAAGATCTAGGAAGGTTAGGGTTAATAACTGATTTCAACTGACGGTATTTTAATAATTAAAAACATTAAGTACCCCTTAGTCTAGGAATGCTGTTTCAACTGGGAATTATGATGGATGACAATATTATTAAACAAGACCCATTTGTTTCTTTATACATAGGACATTTTGACAGCATTTCTATATGAAAGTGGAACTGTCCCTGTCCTGTTTCTGTCGCCCTACTAGACGTTAGCTGTGACCAAGCTCTGTAGATGTCCGAGCCAAGCTTATCCTGCCTCACAATTTCTACATACCGTTGGTTCTGAGGATGGCTTTGAAGTTGTACTCCTCAAAAAAGATTTCATTCATGGCCTCCTGTATGGAGGAGAAGTCGAAATACGGCTCGGCGATGACCGCATTGGTGTCCTCCGGCTCCAGGCTCATCACGTCCTTGCCGAACGTATGCTCCCAGACCTGCCGCTGGACATCCCAGTTGACCAGATAACCCTGCCAATCAGGGGTGAGATAGGAGAAGAATGGAATATCCACAAATAATCACCAGAGGTACTGAGGGCCCCATGACAGCATAGGGTCTACGGCACCGATATGTGTTTGCTTTTACGTACCCCTTGAAATACCTAGTTTATGTGTTCTATATAAGTTTTACTGGTAAAATACCTTGATGGTAACCTCGGGATTTTCCAGATTTCTAACGAGACTGTTTGAAAAATCCTGACATCGTGAAAATTCTGATGACAAACTCCTGCAATCAGACAATCCTGACAAATTTCACCCCTGAAGAATACACGCAGATAGAGTAAAAGACACCTTCACAATTCTTAACATTCTGTCTACAATTTGTCATCGTATTTACAAAGGGATACTAAGATGTCAAAAGTTGACAATTTTGTAATTTTTTTTTTTACTCATTATTTTGCTTTAAAACATCATTCTTAACCATTCTGCCATGCTTCCACTGGCGAAACTTTAAATAATTAAATGTCTTAATTATATTATCATGAAGCATGCAAACATGACTGCCCTCTGAGCATGCACTGCTTCTCAATGCATCAAACGGCATAGGAGAGAAATAAAAGGGTCGGTATCTTTGTTAGATTCTCTGGCATATACAAACATGGATGTCCTATTCTTAATTATGACAAAATACATCATAAAGAAAAGCTGAAGAGTCGACTCATTTGGTTTTTCACAAGATACCGGTGAATGTAAATAACTCATGATTTCAAGTCCTACTAATACCTTCTGGAAGGGCAACAAGTAGAAGATTCCAGACAGGTCCTTGCAATCGTCAATCTGTGATCCTATGTATTGTTTCCTGCGCTCGTTCTTGGCTTTCATAATGCAATTGGGAATCGATCTGTCAACAACAATAATAACAAAATTCATTTTTAATCTCGGAAGTCCAGAAGTTTTCAGATTTTGGCAAACGTGATCATTAGCATTTGAAAAACTGGACAGTTGTGTATAGGCCTACCCTCGTTCCATCTGGTACATCTGAGTTGTCTTTACACCTGAAATGGATCATTTGCTTCATGACTGTTTGTGCTGTTGATCTAGTGAGTGGTAACTTGATAGTTTGACATGCTTGATGGAATCTTAACATGCTTGAAAAGGGAAAATATCAGGATGAAAAGGGAACATATTGATGAAGTATGGGAATACTGCTGGAAAAGTAATGGACTGATTGACTTGTTTCTAGCTCTAACATTAGATTAGTAGCCTAGGGCTACTAGCATGACCGGCAAATCTCCCCATGTCATTAGCCTAGCATGCCTGGATCTAACATTAGTCTGCTTTTGGCAGTAGGGTAGGGACGGATGATGGACCCCACAGTTCTGGGGTAGGGGGCTGACTAGTTTTACAAGATTAAAATGACAAAAAACTGGGGGTCCCCAAATATACAATGCCCACTGTTATGATATTTTTCTTTGATGTCCAGCCTAAGGCTTACATTTAGGCATGTCAAGACTTATCCTAATGTTAGGGCTATAAACGTAACAAGGCTTTGTTAACCAGCAAACCTAACATGCCTAAAGAGTAGCGTTTCAAATTTGATTTGATTTTTTGATTTATTCACTATTTCCACAAAATATTATAATAAAAAATAAGTTTAAGAAAAGCAAACTCAAAGATTCCCAAAAGTGGAAATAGTATGGATAACGCAAAAAGTTAAATTATCTTAGGCCTATTTCCACTGCCGCCATCCCAGGCAATTGACTAACACTAGTAGTAGTACTAGTACTAGTAGTAGTAGTAGTCACGGTACTAGTACTAGTAGTGGTAACAAGTAATGACAGAAAGTCTGTCAAAAAAGGTTGATCTAGACAAATGCCCTTCCTTGCTATTTACTGTTTTATATATAATTTCACTAAATGTTCACTACAACAAGAAACAAGTATTTTACACCTTGGTTTCATCTCAGTATTCAGGCCAACTTTCACCTGATGCGCGCCATTATCTAGCACCATGGTCGCTGCCATCTTGGATTTCGTCAACTGGATTACTTCCGAAAGAGGGCGCCGTGCACGATGAACAAACTATCCGTTCTTGCAAGCGCAAATATTTTGTGAAGAGCATAATTTGCCTCTCTCGATGCCCTATGAGGGTGGTAGAAGGCAAGTGAAATCCATGTGTTGCATTTTAAAAAGTACTGTTTTGTTCTCTAGAAATTTGAATACGTCTCACACATAAAAATCTCTGTAAAACACATTACGCCTTTAGGGCAACACGCGAGTATAATTATGGCGTCACGTTCGGTACCCCGGGTACGTACGTTCGCGTCTCCCTCTCCAAAAAGCCCAAGCACACGTTACTCGCACCGTCACGGTGAATTTAAAATAGCGCCCACCTTTCATCGAAATAAGGACCCGGTTGCTAATGCGTGTTTTACTGGGATTCAAGATTATGATTAGGCCTACTAGGACATTTTTTTTCAATATTTCACAAGTGTTTGGCGAATCAAGTTTTTTTCATCCTATCCCCCAGAAAAACACGCAGCGCACGTTACTCACACCGGTAAATTGAAATAGCGCCCTCCTCAATCCAGGATTCATCTAACGGCTTAAATTAACTTCGCGAACAAAATATTAGAATGGGGTTGTCCGCGCCTGTCGCACGCTTGCTGGTGGCTGACGAGGCCGATGCGCGACGAACAAGCCCGCCGGCCACAGCGGTTGCAAAGATTGGGTTAGGTATTGTGGCATCGGGTTCTTCCTTCTTCTTTTGTCTTTAAGGTGTGCTCTGCGGGTCTTCTTGAAAGAGGTGATACCCTGCTGGACAGTGTGACCCCAGGCCTCACTATTGGCAGCTATATAAAACAGACAACTGGCGATAACCGATGTTTCAGGCGCTAAGACTGGGGAGTCCTTGTAAGTTTTCTTTGGTACCCCTATAGCTCTGTCACGATTGCCAGTGGAGAGATCGCCATACAGCGCAGTCTTCAGCAGGCGATGATCCTCCATCCTGGAATCATGCCCTATTTCGATTTTGGTGACCTCCACCTGTTGAAGGACTTCAATCAAGTCACTCCAGCGGATGTTAAGGATAGTATGGATGCAGTGCTAATGGAGCACTCAAGAAGTCGCAGGTGGGGACGGTATGTGGCCTGCGACTCAGAACCGAAAAGAAGGGTAGACAGCACACACTGATATTGGTGATTGTTAAGACTCCTGTTGTTCCAAACTCTTTTGTACAGTCCGCCAAACGCTACTGCTTGCCTTGGCCAGTCTATTGTCGGTCTTGTTGATCTAGCATAAGATGAAATACTGCACCCGAGGTAGCTGAATTGATGGACTGACTTCTGCTCTTTCTTGTGTCAAATGCGATGTAAGGAGGCTGGTACTCCTCAAGAGGTGCAGGCTGATAGTGAACGGCTGTCTCCTCCAAGCTGACTTCAAGACCGAAGAGATTGGCAGCTCGGCAAAGCAGAATGTTATTCATTGCAGGGCAGATTCATTATGGGCGAACAGGGTAGCATCATGGGCAAAGAGTAGCTGACGGATGAGTTGCTCCTATGTCTTTAAGTAAGCCTGCAGTCGTCTTAAGATAAACAGGCTGCAGTCAGAGCGGTATATGATGGTGAAAAAAGTCGGTACAAGGACGCACGTGGCCTTCACGCCATTAGCTTTTCAGAAGTGATCTGAGATTACTGTGCCTGACTTGACCGCGCTGATCTTCATGGAATGGATGACCATGACGAAGAACCTTGGTGGGCGGCTTTGTTGTCCTACGGTTTGACACACTGACCTTTCCTGCTCACAGTGTCGAAGGCTTTGGTACGGTCGACAACTGTTATGTGTGGCCCTTTGTTCTGTTCCCAGCATTTTTCTCGGAGCTGTCTGAGTACGTACGACCACCATTATTAATAGTGCTCCTGTTGGCTCCAAAGCCACACTGGCTCTCTGGGTATATGGGAGCTGCTCTCTTGCGATAGATAGCATCAATCTGTTTAGAAGCATTCTTGCAAGCATGCTGCGATGGAGAGAAGGGTTATCCCATGTAGTTAATACACTTGGACCTTTCGCCTGTGTTTTTATGCAGGGTGATGGTTACTGTGTAGCGATGTTCAGTAGTAGCTACCTTGCCTTCAACAGTAGACAAAGAGTTCATGGGCTTGGTGTATAAGCATGGGTCCCCCATATATTTCCAGATTTCTGGAGGGATTAAATGAACGCCTGCTACCTTGCCACTTTTTCAACTGCTCTGTGGCTTTTGTAGTCTGAAGTGGCTTTTGTAGGGCTGAAATGTCGTTCACTTCTGTTTTAACTTTCCGTGAGGGATGCTAAAAATTGCTGAGTCTTGCTGTAAACAATGAAGAGGGCCTTGAAGTACTCCACCCACCGGTTCACGATGGACTCTGTCTATGACGGGCGTCTTGCAAATGGCTTTGAACCTGCATGATGGAAAGGGCCGTACATTGCCTTTGGGGCTTTGTAAAACCGCTTGTAGTTTCCAGTATCTGTACAAAGCTGAGTTCTTTCTGCGAGGTTGGTCCACCATTCGTTTGGATCTTTTTCACAGAACTAGACAGCTAGGTGAGGTGTGCCTTGTGAGCAGATCTCTTCATTTGCAAGCAGTACTGGAATAATCTGGTCTTTTTTGTCAAACCAGTGTTTGTTCCTTTTTGAGGAGTATCGTATTCTTCAGAAGTAAGCAGTGTTCAGGTGTTCCCAAAGCAGTGCCGGAGAAGGATCTGCGGGGCAAATGGGATCTTCGAGCTTGAACTGAAGATTTGCCTGATATCACTCAGGTGTGCAAGACGTCAGGAGTGTCTCTGAAGCGCTAAAATGTAATTTATGAGGTGCCAGTGTCTTGACCAAGGACGCATCTGGGTGGTATTCTGGCGTCTGTCCGCGAAAAATTCTAAGAGAATTACAGTTTCCTGTGTCAAGTTTGCCAGAACTCCTGTCCACTATAGTGTCCAGGCTTCTGAATCTCAGTTAACTTTGGCACTGAAGTCGTCAAGGATTATTACCTTGTCATCAGCAGGAATGTTTTGTACAAGGTTGCGCAGGTTGGGGAACAACTTGGACATGTTTGGGGAGTCGGAGTATAAACGCTGAAAAGAGTGATAATTAAGTTTCTTGTTTGGAAGTGTGAGGCGCATGGAGAAAGGTGTGGTCCGATGACCATTTGGCGAACTTTCCAGTTTAGAGTCGAGGTTGATCGTGAAGTCGATATCCAAGAGGCGTCTCTCATTCTCAAGCTTGCCTGACCAGTAAATTTAGAGTGTAGCCTAGCTGTGCCATGTTCTTGAAGGCTGCCAACCCTTTAGAGGCAAACTTCACTAAGAGCAGCGAAAATTCAGACTAAAAAGCTCATGTGCAACTAAGGCTGAGCGACGCTCTGGGTCGTTATCTGCAATGTCAAGCATGATTCTAATGTTCCAGTATGCGAGTTTTAGACTGTGTACACCTTAATTGTAAGGGACGTGTTGCGCTTTTCTTTTTTGTTCTTGTTCGACCGCATTTGAAGTTGTCGGTTGACTGCGGCTAGCCAATTCAGGAAATAGGAAACGAGTTTGGAAGGATTATCTTTTCTAGGCTCCCTTCCTTATGGATCAAACATTGCTCTCCCTGGAGAAGGTTGCTTGATCATTCAGGGTCCTGTCGAACGACAGTCGTTGTCTCCTGACCTGGTCACCATCAGACGACCTATGCACCTGGATTGCCAGCATGCAGGATTATTGGGACCGCGGCTTTCTGTGTCATCTTTCGTCTGCCGCATTTGCCCTCTTTCCATCGCAACACAGCTTGGCGTAGTTCACTGTAAAAACGCTGGGCAATTTTTGTTTGCCCAACGTGGCTGCGGGGTACCAGGTGAATTGCTTAACCGTTGAGCAAAAGAGTAGAACACTTGGTAAGAAAAATAACCTTTTCTACCATTGTTGGGTAAAATGGGACAAGTTTAGTTTGCCCATATATGCAGGAGAGAATCAGCGCGGCGCAGTCGGGTTCAACCATGCAGCTATATAAAAAGGTCCAACAGTTAGACGATTCACCTGGTATCCAATGTTGGGCAGAAAATACCCAGTGTTTTTACAGTGTTGGTGAACGTGAGGACGTGTCCTTCAAACCTGCGCCGTGGACTTTTCAGGTTCATGAAGTGTAGTGTACGCCTGCACCCGCGAGGCCCCATCTTTTACACTCGAGGTTCATCTGTCATGACCTAGAGAGATGGTGGCTGCGAGGCCCTCGTGTCGGGTCGGAAGTTCTGCGTTGGACTGTCCTTGTCCTATCCTCTGGCTCAAAACCTTCATTGAAGGCACAAGGATTTTAATTCAGCAAACAGGTGCTATCACTCCAGGCCAGAGCAGTCCTAGGAGTGACCATGAACTTGGGTGCGACTCTACACTCCCCAGTTCTTCGGAGCTTCTGTACCGAAGCCTTACCCCGGGATGCAATTCAACGTCATACCCAGGACACAACTCGAGACTTGCACTACACTAAATACGCAACCACACAATTCGGTGCGCCTTCAAGAGTTTGCAACGTGTTGGCCAATCACAACGCGCAAATTTGTCGACCCTTTCCAAACTGTAGACGGAAAAAGAGGCCATGTAGAACGACGTGTGTCATATGCACATAAGGCTCAGGACGCACGAAGTACGTACGGTACACTTTCTGAGCATAATATGCACATGACGCAAGTCGCTAGCGCGCTCTGTGTGGCCCCCTTTTCCGTCTCCCTTTCCAAACGTTCATTGGGTTGACAGATTTCGCACACTGTGATTGGCCGGCGTGTATGTTGCAAACTCTTGGAGGCGCCCTATTGTGAATCGCCTGTATTTCTGAGAGAAAAGGCCACGCGGGGAGTCGCTCAAGTACAAGAAAACAATATTTGTTTCACCGGAAATTTAAAATTACGACCACAAGGACAATTTTCTTTTCAATCTCCCAGTGTTTTCCAGTTCATTAAAAAAAATAGTTCCTTTCTAAAATCCCCAGCACGTCACTCACACATTTAATCCAAATTGTGCGTTTCATCTTTTTTGTACATGTACACCATTATAAAGAAAAAAGTGCACAACTTTTGCAAAACAAAAGTAGCACCACGTGGTGACACTCTGCGGGAACAGAGTGACACCACTTCAGAGTGGGAAACCTTGGACAATTTTCGTTTTCATTTTCATAAGTATTTGCCGAATCAATTCATTTCACAATACCCTCCCGTGATATCCCCATCACTGCGGGCACAAGTGCGCCACCGTTAACTTGAAAAAGCGCCCTCATTTCAGCTTGCTGTTGAACTCAGTGGTCGAAATTCACCAACAACTAAAAGCACGCGCACAACGATGCAAAATGGGACAAAAATGGCGCAGCCTGGTGAAACGTAGCAAAACGTATTTAACTGGAATTTCAAGAGTGTGACCCCAAGGGCAATTTTCTCAAGTGTTTGTCGAATCATTTTGTTTTCATCCTCCCCTTCCCAAAATCCTTAGAATGCAATACTCTCCTCAAAAATTTGGATAGTGCCCTCCTAATTCCGTCTCTGGGTTTCATCAGCATAAAAATAAAACATTAAAATTTCTGCTTTTTACTGCCACAAAGGATCGGTGAAAAGTCATAGCAACATTTCCAGAAAGCTCTCCTGACGCATTCAGGTAATATAACTCCTAATTTATGTCTCTTGTTAGCATGTTAATTAGAAATCAATCATCTTCAGGTGCCAGAAAGGTCCAGAAACAGCTACCGAAAATCTGAGATTGTTTTCACAAAACAGGTGTTTGAAAACAGCAACTAAAACACATTGTAATTCTGGCATCACCCTCAACATATAAGTTTTTTGTCGATGTTCGTTTGGTATCACATCACTTTATTTTTGGTGCTTGTATCTTTCTGAATTATTTTAATATGTGAGTTCAGTTATGGTTCTTGTCACGGCAGCGGCATCTGCAAGGTGATACCTAGGTATGTGAGAACGAGGTTGACAAACCACAAGCTCCCGTACGTGCGGCTCCCAGACCACACTCAACGACATTTGCATGGTACACTAACGCAGTACCCGTCTAGTGGTTGCCTGAACTACTTGTAAATAGTTTACGGCGGCGCAGGAGACACTTGTCAGCTGAAAATGAGTTTAGGTTAAAATTATTCCTATTTTTGACTTCACTTCGACAATTTTTACTGTATGAAGAAAAATTTTCCATGTAGAATTATACAG